GCTGTTTAGGTCTGACTCTTGAAGATGGACGTTTGGCCTGACAGCGCTGTTGCTGGGTCAACATCGCTGTCCAAAAACTTTCTGCCAATGCACTGTATTTTAGGCTTAGGTTGGACAGCGCTGTAGGGGAGCCTACATCGCTGTTCCAGAAGTCTCTGGAAATCCAACCTTGGCTCAACAGCGATGTCTAAAGTCCAACATCGCTGTTGGAAGACTTAACGCCAAACCATGTTTTTGGTTACCCAGGCCAGACAGCGCTGTTGATTACCCCAACATCGCTGTTGGGCTTGGTTTAGCCAGACCATGGTTGGTTTAGTCACGCCGTTAGCCGATGTCAAAAACGCAAGTTCTCCAAAATAAAAACCAAGTTTAGAAAACATTTGTTTATTGCAATTTGCTAAGAAATCAAGTAAAACATCTTAAAAACCACGTCATTTAGTTGAAAACCACGGCTAGCCAAGTTCGTGCCGTTTCGCATGGTTTTCACTAAACGATCAAAAACGGAAGGTGGTTTTTGAGGCGTTTTTGTTGGAGAACTATTTAAATATGCCCAGAAGTAAAACCAGTTATAAAAAGTTAAAAACCACTTGGTTGGTTCGGACGCCAAAAACCGATGCCGAAAACCGAGAGCCAAACGCCGGTTTCTGAAAGCCGAACGCCGAATGGCTTGGTTTTTGGCTTGGGCGAACTCCAAGTGTTTTGACCCAAGTTTAAACTTTAAGAAAAGTATTTTTGAATATGTAAAAGAGATTTTTATGAATTAAGCCTAGAGAGCCAAGATTTGGAATTTTGTGCCGGTCTTGATCACATTAAGACCGACTCAATACAATTTTAGTTCTTCGTTCTTGATTCTGGGTTCTTGGTTCTTAAGTCATCATGCCATGTTCCTTCGCCTTAGTTTTGCTCACTTTAGCTTCGATATGTCGCGGCGGTTTGGCATTATCAAAACCTGTCATAAACGAACACAGTTTAGTGCGACGAAGGCGTAAACCCGTGTTCCAACACATGGCAGTAGATGAAGAAACAGATCTCGCAAAGAGTGGAGATCATTTGCGGATTTTAAGCTTATAAAATAAGATGATAATACGAAATCAAATAGATACAAGTAAAATCCCAAAATACCCCGTGCTTGAAACGGCTGCAGCATCTAAATCTTTAGAGATCTAACAGTTAAAAACTATTCTCATTTCTTTCATTAGATCTTATTCTTATTTGAACCAAACTCTATATATATATATATATATATATATATATATATATATATATATATATATAGATATGGACACACATAGTTTTTTATAATATAGGATTATTTAAATAAAATAAAATCTATATAACATTAGTCAAACATCATTAAATCTAGTGGGAGTGTGGGACAGTGGGACGTATCAAATATAATAGTTTATCTTTAAAATTCCGTTGATGGTGATTGTAGAATGATTATAATTCCTTTGAATAAATAAATAAGTAAATAGATAAGAAAGAAAGAAAAAGAGAAAGAAGCGGGTATATAGGTAAAAAACTTCTAGAGAACAATATGAATGTTTCCTAAAACACAGAGTTTTCCAGATATAATTGGTTTTCTAATTCTCTTTCTCCTTTTCCTGGTCGAAGCCTGAAACGCAAATTACTCCTTGCAATAAATAGCACACACAGAAACACATATCTGTGTCCATATATGATATCAATCAACTCTGTGATTCTCCGCCGCTAATGGCTGCCGGAAAAAGACAGAGTACCCAGAGGAGGAGGAGGATGACGGCCGCCACCGCCACCGGAATTCAAAAATCATCCATTCCTCTCCTTCCCCGCGACTTGATCGTCGAAGTTCTTGCAAGGGTCGCGTGCCGTTCACTCGACGATTTTGTCAATGCAAAACTGAGGTACATGTTTTTTTTATCATGACATGCAGTTTCATAAAATGTTTATCTTTGTTGTAAAGAATGCTTAGATATTACATTTACATTATATAATCAAACCATATAGGTCAAGTTATTTGAGACCGGGGAGTTTGATACAGGTTTAACAAAAAAAATCTCTCTTAATTCCAGAGGTTCCATGTTCTAAAACCTACAAGCCTTTAAAAAAAAACTCCAATTATCAGTGTATTTTTGATAAAATAATTGCATATTACTCCATAATAAAATAAAATAATTTTTGAAAATATTTTACAAGATAAATGTAATAAATCAAATATTTCTTGTAGTATGTTTTTTAAATAATAATTATATTTTGATTGTTCATGTGTGTGTGTGTACAGCTGCCAAGAATGGTGTCAATTGGGAGATGAAAGTTACGTGTATAAGCATGCATCTCTTGCAAAGTTCCAAATTCTCCCCGGATGGAAACAACAAAGTGCAGAGAAGAAGAGAAAAACAACTTTATTCTTGTACAAGTGCATTGATGCTGGAAACCCAGAAGCATTGTTCAGGACAGGAGTGGTATGTATACATACCCACACATTTTTGTGTGTGTATATATATTATATATGTATATGTGTGTGTGTATGTATGTATGTATATGTATGTATGCATATACTATATGTGTGTGTGTGTGTGTATTTTTTCTTTTTATTTTTATTTTTTTTATTTCTATTTTTTTATTTTTCTTTTGTGTGTGTGTGTGTGTGTGTGTGATTTCACTGATTGTTTATATGTGTATATTACCTATAGGTTGGGTTTTTTGGATGCACAGAGCCTATAGAGTATGCGTTGGAGTGTTTGAAAAGGGCGGGAAACGAAGGACATGTGGGAGCGGCATATACAATCTGCATGATCTCCATACTGTTCTTGGGGGGTGAGCACAGAGAAAAGGGAATCATGGTGTTGAGTGCCATGAAGGAGTCCAAAGAACTCAAGGAGAGAGTGAGGGAAGCTCGTGAAGAACTGGTTAGGATCTTGCGCATGATTTGGAAGAACAAGTTACGTGTTCGCATCCAAAGACCGGTGTGTTGCAGCACCGCGGATCATTGCTCTAGAAAGAGGGGGTGGGATTTCGACGAAGAAGACACAAGCGCAGAGTGTGCGTATTGTAGGTGTGATTTCGAGGTTTTCCATGTTCATAAAGCTCTCCCCTTGTTGCCATTGTCTTAATAACTAGCAGTTCTAAATATAAAAAAAACTAGCAGATGATGATGATGATGATGATGATGATGACAATGTCTAACCAAAAGATAAACTAGCAGATGATGTCTAACACTCTAACCAATTTAAGTAGTAAGGCAATGGCTGTGTTGGGAGAGAAGAGGAATAGATGATTTTTATTTCATTTCTAGATGATGGTTAATTAGCTTGTAATATAAGTAAATCATGCCCTATTGGTTTTCAATTCAATAATGATGATTAAACAAATGGAGATGATGAAGACTTACAAATGCACATCACAAACTGTGTTTAAAGATGCAAAGATGATCCAGTTTTGAATTCAACTATTCAAGTGGTGAAACTCACATTATCAAAATTATTATAAGCATACACACAAGTTTTATGGGACAAGAAAGCCCTTTTAAATTTTCTAGTCAGTTGCTAAAGGGTGTTTAGGTCAAAACCTGAGAGAAAGAAACATCTTTGGCTATCTTTGCACCTCTTTCTTTGGCCATGTAAAGTCCCATGTGGTGCATGAGCTCTTGGGGATGAGGCATCAAATTCCTCTCTGTGTCCATGGGAGGGGGGAAGTCAAAAGTGGCACAGCCCTTTGAGTAAAGGACAATGTCCTCCAAAGGGTCAAGAAAGCCTCTGTTTCTGGCCGATATGGTTGAGCATACAAAATCCAGCACACATATGTCTGTGCAGACTCCAACCACCACGATCTACATCACCATGGCATAACAATAAGTGTCAGGACCAACCAGTTTTGGTAATTTGATTTGTGTGCATGAAAAGAGGGATATGGTACTACAATAACATACCCAGTTGAATACTTGAATCCCAGATCTTACCTCTACTATGGGTATTGTAATAAGAAAGAAAAGACACTTACCACTTGAATCTTGTTGGATTTTATCCAATCAACAAAAACGTTAGAGCCGTCTTCCTCAAATGATCCGATGTAGCCATCATAGCAGCCTTTGTGCCTGATCCTGACGTTTGGTTCTTTCTCTAGCCATCTTAGAGCTGCAAATTCATTGGAACAATATTTCTTCAAAAGCAAATAGCTTTTAAAAAAAAGTTTATAGCCTTTTTTGAAAAATGTTTAATCAATGATACATAGAAGTATGGAATATCTTTGGAGTATTATTCTATTGTGATGGCAAAGGTACCAGGAACAAGATTGGATTCTTCTGATCCAGATATGCAGTGAGAAGGATAAGGCTGTTCAAGTTTGTCTGGACAGTGTGAATCAAGAAAGGCAAGAACAGGCCAGCCTTTGTCACAGAACAGCCTTGCCAGCTTTGCGGATTCGTCCATCATTTGTGAGATCTGGCTATTGGGCTCCCTTGGTGCCTGCAAATTTAAAGAACAATGAGTACAACCCTTCGTAAATTATAACCGGCCATTAGCAGAAAATGAATGCAAAGGACTTTGAGGAGCCATACCAGGTTTCCGGCTCCAACAGTGCAGAAACCATTGATGATGTCTACCAGAACCAAACCTGTTTTGGATGCTTCTGATAAAATCATTGATTCCTCTTCTAGGGGAATCTCATTTTTAACAAGATCAATTGCCTTTGATACCATCTTAGCAACAACTTCTCAGAGATGATGAAAAAAGTTTATGGCTTTTCTGCTGAAGAATAAATGCCACTGATGGGCCTCCACCCACAATAATTTACCTCATATGTAGTGACTTTTCACCTCTGGCATTTTGTGATTGTTAGAAGTCATACAAGTCACGTATGGACGTATTATCATATTGACTTTATAACCACCTCACAATTTACTACTTCCAAAGATATTTAATATTAGTATGACTCTGATATGAGGTCACTGTCATAGCAATTAATTAGAGTTTATCTAAGAGAAAGTGTTTGAATGGTAGACTAGTAGAACTGGTTAATCAGATTTTAAAAGATATTGATACTTCAAAGCCCAAAATCAAGAACAAGATTAATGACTTGTTGCGACCAACTCCATCTGATGATCAGATTGTATGAATATTAAAGACAAAATGCAAACTCTGTAAAAAATTTCATTTGCTCCATATATGCCAAATGGCCAATTTTCAAGAGCATTTCAGCAACTCAAATTAAAATGAGCAAAAACGTTGTTCATCCCAACAACACATAAGAAGCTATTAATATTGAAAGAAACAGATTGCATCAATGAACAAAACACAATGTGCTCTACATTGTCATACTTGTAATGTATTTCTGAATACCGGGTAGCTTGTCCTTGTATGGCATCAGATAAATCTCAGAAAACTTGGAATTAGACCATGAAATGGTGGTAGAGAGCGTGGATGTTCTCAGATTGTTTTCTTTAAGAATTTTCAGCACTTGACTCCTGGGGATGGTCCTCTTCTCCAAACTAGACATTAAAAGCTTTGGGCGAAGAGTCAGGTAGTCGGGACCATACCCAAGTTCCTTCATTAAAAAACACAGTCCCTTCTTCAACCTATCCTCTGACAGTGTTAAACAATGAGGTTGTCTTTTCACAATGCCTGAAATTTCCACATCGGTCCAACCAAAGCTCCTAAAGACTTCAAATTTCTTCTCCACAGTCGTCTTGCTCAGTGCAGTGGCCACAAACATTCCACTGGGGAACATTGGAGAGTTTCTGGGAATCCCAAATTCCTTTTCTACTCTGATCAAGATCTTTTTAACCCAATCCGTATTGGTAGTTAAGTAACATGGTCTTGTGATGATCATCCGTTTGAGCTGCTTCTTTGAAAGCCCAAAGTTCTGAAGCAGCAGTATATTTTTCTCCATCCGTGTGTGGTTACCAAACGAGAGCAACCAAGAACATCTCCTAAAAGCTTTTAAATAATTTTCATCACTACCCGCAGCTTCCCTGAGAAACTTTAAGACAGGTTTGAGATGACTCTCTAACCCTCTAGACAAAATCAAGCCATCTCTAACAATAAGTCTAACAAGATCACACTCAGGTATACCGAATTCTTGGAGGCATTTGATTTTGGGGCTTATGGTTCGCTCGGGGTCCAAAAACAGCAATTTTGGGCACCTGTAAACCGCATTCTTGATATGGGCAGGATCCATTCCTACCCGTTTCAGATAATCCACAACCAATGCGGGTCTTGTTTGATATTTGAAGGAGGGTACCTTTGCAGCGGCAGAGACGGCGTCATCTCTGGAGAAGTTGAGTGAGCTTGTCAGGAAATCCACCAAAAACTGGTGACCACTCGCATCCGCCGCTTTAGCAGCGGTGGCGTAGCTAAACCCGGTGGAGGTCCTGGAGCTATAGTCATACAAAAGGAAGAAATGGTGTCTCTGTTCTAGGACATTGCCTCTGCTAGCAGGTATCCCGAGTATCCTAGAAACCCTAAATCTCGCCATTCCAGCCATTAGAGCTCCGGGAAATGTTATCGTTCTTAGTTGGTTTTTGTAAATTTGCAGACCGGAAGGCGAAAGGTTGAGTATTTGTAAATTCACGAACACCTTGTCTGCAAATGCTTTCCGGTTGAGTATTTGACTAATTTGTGAATGATGAGCCATGAGTCCCTCACAAATTTGGATTTGATCCTTTCGCACCCTTTTGACTAATTCTTCAAATTATCTAATCTAATTACATTTTGTGTCCATGTATTATATTCACTTCATCCCTATAAAATGTCATAGTTCAAATTTATTATCAAATTATGTCACACTTTACTCCCAATTAAAGGAAATATTCACACCAAGCTCACGAAACAGACTTTGGAGCCATGGAGTTTCAGCAATGCCATGAGCAAGGGCCCTATACTCGGCCTCATTGGAAAAACGAAAAACAGTTTTCTAGTGAGCAGATTTCCAAGAGACCAGATTAAATCTAAGATAAACAACATAAGCGGTAAAATCTAGTAGCCTCCACCAGGAGTAGGGTCGGTGGTACCCCGTCCACACATAGCCCGCGGCTACCACGACCAAAAGCACCTCCACAATCGCCACCACACATGCGCTGTTTGTGATTTGTCGTATATACAAGATCGGACGTGACAGTTGAGCGATTGAGAATTTCACGCTCACACTCCTTTAAAATAGTGGTAAGCTCATCGATAGAGATATCAGCATTACACCCAGCAACGACTGATAGAGGGCAGAGTAATCCTCTCCAAGTTGAGACATGATGTGAACCGAATGATCCTCATCTGTCACGAGGCTAACAGCCAAGGCAAGATCGGATGCAATTGTTGTCATGTCCACAACAAAGACATCAATGGTACGGTTCTCGCGATGAGTTTTCGCCAATTGGGATGTAAGATAAATAATACGCACGCGAGACATATTGGCAAGGTTTTTGGTCAACCAAGACCAATCATCTGCTAAAGTATCAACGAGATGGATCAACGGTTGAACGACGTTTGTGTAGCTAGCAAGAATAGCACCGAGAAGAATGACATCCTGACGATACCACAAGGTATACGCAGGGTTGCAGTGCTTGTGAGCAGCGTCGAGAAAGGGAGATGGAGCTTTAAGCGAACCATCGACATAGCCAATAAGATTGAGACCAGCGAGAGGGTGTCTGAACCTGATAGCGCCACACAAGGTAGTTGGTCTTGGTTAATTTGATGGGGAAATGCTTTGAGACATACATGCAAATGAGGCCCGACAAAGATGATGAACCAAAGTCCACAGAGCTAGAGCAGGAAATAGTCATCAACAATTGTTGGAGATGGGAGACGCCCAAAGGCGTATATCCACGAGAGGAAAAAAACCTGTTTAAAATAAATGCTCCGATACCATAAAGATAGGGAATGGATATCAATAACTGAGATGATAATTCCATATGGGAGAGATATTTATACAAGTACATGGCTAACTAATAAAACCTACGAACAAAGAGAGTGGAGCCCATACAAGTGGAAGAGATTGAGTCAAAAGCTAAATACAAGGGATAGAGATACATACTGCGTAACCACTATTCAATGTTGAAAATAATATTTAATCATCTTTTTCTAAATATCGTTAACAATCTGGACATATGATCACTCTAAAGAAGTAAATTAAATTTTAATTACAAATGGATGTTTTGAAAGCCTACTTTTGCTAACTACACAACATTCATAGATAGAAAAAAATTGAAGTTTGTGGATCATAGGTAGAACCTGGCAAAACAGAACCGGAACCGATTACCCGAACCGAAATATCCGAAGCCGAAACCGGAATGACCCGAAAAATGAAGATCCGATCTATAACCGAAAACCCGAAATGATCCGAATCGAACCGAAACCGAACTAAATAATTCATATCCGATTTAAATCTAAAACCGATTAGATCCGAAACCGATAATATCCGAACCGATTTAACCCGAAACCGATTAGATCCGAACCCGATAATACCCGAAACCGATAAAATCCGAAACCGATTAGATCTGAAACCGATAATATCCGAACCCGATTAGAACTAAAATTGATAAATTCAGAACTATGTTTACCTTTCAATAAGCATATTATATTTTTAAATTTTTACTTTTATTTTATAATTTGAACTAATTACATTACTTGCTAATTTCCTCATAAAATAGATTATCTTCTTGAAAAAAATTACAAAATTTTATTCCTTAAATTTATTATATGTAGAAATTAAAGATACGTTATACATATAAATGATAACACACAAACAAATAAAATTTCCGTAATTTTTAAATAGTGAAGTCTGATATTCTTTTTTGAACGAAAGGAATATATGATGAATTGTATGGTATAACTAGATTTTATCCTAATTTCATCTCATTACAATAAATTTTATTGATTTGAGAGTTAATTTGATTAGTTTCAAACCAATTTACTCAATATTAGTCAATAAAATTAGATGCTAGTGTTAGCATTTTGAAAAGACTCTCTAGCGGCAGCCTTTACTATTATCATTTTCAAATTTGATCTACACCATTACATTTAGGTGTAAAATTAATTATATTTGACTCTATTAAATTTAATTTTCNACAAATTTTGCACTCAATTGAATAAAATTCACTTAATTTCACCCAATTTTACTCAATTTTTACCAAATTGTATTCAAATGGAACATAAGACTATTTGAATTTATCTTTTATCCTTTCATTTATATACATAAGTATATTAGTAGATGTGAGAAAAATTTGATATTTCAAAACTAAATTTTAAAATCAATTTAATTATATTAAATTTATATCATAATTAAATATATATGTTTTCATAATTTGTAGTCCAAATTTGTAAAATATGACTAAAAAGTCAAAAAGGAAAGATTATTTAGGGTAGAGATAATATAACTAGAAAAAAAAATATAAAATAATACTCCCCCCGTTCTAAAAAACACTTCATCTTTCATTTTTTCCACTTCCAACAAAACACTTCCACTTTCTATTAAAAAACCACTTTTACCCTTACTTTTTCATACTCTACCTATCACATCATACTTTTTCTCTAATAATGTATTCATCACATCTTACTTTTACCTATCACATCAAGGGCAAAATTGGAAATCAACTATAATTTAACACTTCCTTATTTTTGATCCAAATCAAAATAGGAAGTTTTTTGCAAACGGAGGGAGTATGAGGTATTGAATTGATGATTGATAAATGTGATAAAACATAAAAAGAAACACGGATAGTTAAATTTTAATTAGAAAATAATATATATCCAAAATATATTTGATCCGAAACCGAAATATATTCGAACCGAACTAGACCCGAAACCGAAATATATCCGACTCAAATTGTATCCGAACAGAAATCTATCCGAACCAATTTATAACCGAACCGTATCTGAACCGACTCGAAACCGAACCAAACCGAAAAATGTATAGAACCGAAATCAAATCCGAACCGAAATTTAACCGATCCGAACCGAACCGAACCGATTATAACATATAACCGAAAGATATCCGAACCGAAAAAATCCAATCCGAAACTGATCCGGTTGATCCGATTGCCACCTCTATCATAGGTTTGTCCAATTTAGTTTTTCAAAAAAAAAAAACGGAGTAATAATAAAGGTTGTCCAATTTATTACGGTCAGAAGTCCTCCACGAGTCCATGGTAAAGTCCTCCGTGCATGTTCTCGCCCCGGGGGGCAGACGGGTTAACCCGCACAACCGGCAAACCGCTCCGCAATTTCAGCTGCATTAAACATCCTTCCTCGTACGTATTCTGGGACTCCTCTTCTCCCTTCTCTATCCCCACACATAAACCCATTTTGACCGAGGGCTAGGGAGGTCCTCGCCGCCGCCGCCACATTCAAAATGCAAGAATCCCATCATTTCGGCAACGGCGGCGGCGCCTATAATAACAACTACAGGCCGCCGCCGCCGCCGAATCGCCCTTCCTATGCGCCGACCGGAAATGTCGCCTTCCGCTTCCTCTGCCATTCATCCCGGGTCGGCGGCGTCATTGGCAAGTCCGGCGTCATCGTCAAGCAGCTTCAGCAGGAAACCTCTGCCCGGATTCGAGTAGAGGACCCCGGCTGCAACTCTGAGAACCGGGTCATTGTCGTCATAGCTTCCGCAGCGGTGAATAGAAAAATCAAGTTTTCCGCCCCCATGGACGACGGCGAAGACAGCGCCGGAATTGAAGCGGAGTTTGAAGCCTCGGCTGCGCAGGAAGCCGTGGTTAGGGTTTTCGAGAGAGTGCTTGAAGTAACTGCAGAGACCGGAGGGATGGTACTGGGAAATGGAACTTTGGTTTCATGTAGGCTTATTGCTAAGGGAAATCATGTAGGGTCTGTGATTGGGAAAGGTGGAACAATTGTCGATGCGATCAGGAAGGAGACAGGGTGCAGAATTAAGGTCTTAACAATGGAAAATCTCCCATCTTGCACTTATCCTGGTGACAAAGTGGTGGAAGTAAGAAACTTTGTTTTTTTTTTGTATAGAAAACTTAAGTAATTACTTTCTTGTTTTCTGTATAGATTTGGAATTTGGCGAATGCTTCTTAAAAATTTAATCTTGAAAAGATGTCTATTGTTATGAGTAATTGCAGACCAGTATGTGCACCATAATTGATATACATGAGACCTTATATGAATAAATTAGTCAGCTGGGTGTTTCTTGCAGTAATATTATCGTTTATGCTTGGAAAATTAACTGCTTCTGCGATCAAGTTGGGAAGTGTGTGTATATTTCTGATGTGTATTGGGTTCAGGAGTAGTTTTTGACAAGAAAAAAAGGTTCTTTTTTTTTTCTTTCAAGAAATTAAGATGGGAAAATGCTCACTTTTTTTTTGTAATTAAAGAAGCCATCACTGTGTTTTACTTTACTCTATAGCTTGTGTCAGTGTGTACTTTGCTTGTGCTACTGTGTTGAGCCGAGGGTCTTATGGAAACAGGCTCTCTTCTTCCCAGTAGGGGTTAGGCCTGCTTACAGCCAAACACACCCCCTCCCCATCATGGGATTTTACCGGTTTGTTGTTGTTGTTGTTATTGTTGAAGTCATCATCGTGTTGCAGATTGAAGGTGAAATTCTGGGTGTTAAGAAAGCACTCATTGCTGTCACCGGCAGGTTTCAAGAATGTATGCCACCTGAGAGAACAACATTTGGTGACATCAAAGTTCCTGATGGTTCTCAAGAATCATTGCAAGTTAATTCAACTGAACAAAACAGCTCAATTCCAGTAAATATCTCACCTCGCACAGGTGGTAATTTTTTCTCACCTAGATCCGATAGTTCTTCGAATCTTGTGTCAAAGCAAGAGATCACTTTTAAGATTCTTTGTCTCGGCGATAAGGTGGGGTATGTAATTGGAAAGGGAGGATCCATTGTCAAGTCTCTTGAAGTTGAAACGGGTGCAACTATTAGAGTTGGGCCAGTCATAGGAGGGTGTTTTGAGCGCTTGATAACCATTTCAGCTTTTGAGGTTTTACTTAATCCACATGATTATCTGATCCTTTGAATTCTTGTATGTCTATATCACGTTACGCTAATCAGTTTTCTTTATACATATCAGAATTTAGAATCACATCAATCCCCGGCACGGCATGGAGTTATTCTTGTTTTCAACAGACTTGCTGGCATCGACTCTGAAAAGGTGTCGACATTTGGCCCAAAAGGGTCATTTATTTCAGCCCGGCTTGTAGTGCCAGCGAATCAAGCTGGCTGCTTGCTGGGAATAGGAGGTTCAATAATTGCAGAAATGAGAAAGATGACTGGTGCCCGAATAATAATACATAAAGGTGACCAAGTTCCAACATGTGCATCAGAGAATGATGAAGTTGTAGAGGTGTGGTTAATGATTCAATGCTTCTTAATTTGTTTTTCGTGTGCTATTGTGCTTCTCTACTTCTCTATGATTTGACTTTTTGATTTTATAGTGTAAGCACTTCCATTGGAATCAACCTTCAAAATGCACAAAAGATCTTTTGTAACAATACAAACTGAAGTATTTGCTAAACTTCTACCCTTCAAACATTTGTTTTTTAAAATATGACATTTTTCCCTTTTCAAATGTTTGAAGGGTAGAAGTGTAGCAAATGGCACATTAAACTTTTCTCCCTTCTTACTTTCTACTCCCTTCTACATTGGCATTTGAAACTTATGGGTTTATTTTGTTAGATTACAGGTGAATTCTCAAATGTCCAAGATGCTTTATGTAGTGTCACTGCTAAGTTGCGCAATAACCTATTGCAAGTAAAGTTAACCACTGAGAATAGTCCCCATGGCAGATTGCAGTATCGTCACTCTGCCGGTGCCACTGATCATATCAACATGCCTTCTGACTTGACACAAAACATGGGCAATCTTGCTATTTCAAATAACACGAATGGTCTGCGCCCCCCAAGTTTTAGGCCACCACATATCACCGTAAATAAGATAGGCCATACCAATTCAGGCAGAGGATTAACTTCGGCTAACGGGGGGCTTGATCTTGGCAGGTTTGTAAAAAAAGGCACCATGACACTCCTATCAATTATCTGTGTATATTGCTTATGATTTTTTTCATTTCGGAACAGATCTGCCATTGTGACAAATACAACCGTGGAGATGGTAGTTTCTGAAAGTGCTTTTGGGTCTGTTTATGGGGAGAACGGCATCAATTTGGAACATCTGAGACAGGTTTCATTTGCACTCTCTATCTATTAATGACGCAGTTGCCCTTGTGTTTTTAATGGCTAGTTCTATAAGGCCAATCTGGCTGATATAGTTCAATATCCCTGTTGAAATAGCCTTTAGATATGATAGTTTGGAGACCTAGCTAGGGGTAAGGCACCCTTCTCTGACCCTACACTTGGGGGACTTTCCTAATAAGGTTTATTTTTTGCTTTGCCAAATAGGGTTTGCTTTTAAAAGCATGGAAAAACATGAAAGAGGCTACAACCTTAATCTTGAAATCTGTCATTCTTTGCCATAACACACACAATCATGATTCATTAATCACTCCATAATAATGACAATTATGTGTTTCTGTGTTTGAGCCAACAGATCTCAGGGGCAAAGGTGTTGGTGTGCAGACCGTCTGGGAGTAGCGATCGTACAATCGTCATCTCTGGAACGCCCGATGAAACTCAAACAGCTCAGAACCTCCTTCAGACCTTCATAATGAATGGATCACTATGAACAAACCTTTGATCATTCGGCACTTGGGTTAGTAGCTTTTATGGTTGTAGTTTTCGAATGGGTTAATTTAGCTATTTCTTGTAGTAGTTTTTTTGAATCGTTTTAACCAATTCATGAATACGGTTTAGTTGCAATTCTTTCTTCCTTCCCTGGAAAACGTTCGACTTTTTGCAGTTTTAGATTGCATTGCATTTTAATACAACGAAATGAATGATTTCGCAAGATAGATGGAATGAGCTCATTCTTTCATCAATATATTCTTTATTTAATTCTGTCATGTTTGACTAGAAAAAGTCAAACTTGAAGAATACTTTAGTACACATTGCCAATAGAAAACTAATTCATCATCTTCTTCACCAAACACAAATTTCAAATTTCATATCATAAATAAACAAAATCTTACAACAGGGATTCCATCCAGAAAGAAGAACTCAAGCTCAGCTGGGGTAAAAAGTAAAATAGTAATCTCCAATCAGTTTTTACTTAACCCTGGGGTGGGGGCGGGGGGTGGGAGGAGGGTAATTTGGACATTGTCATGAACGCCCTGGAGCAGCAGCTCGCCATCATATTTCAAGACCTGGCGTTTCTTGGCAGCTCTCAAAGTCCCAACCAACGCCTCGAAGATGTTCGCACATTGATCATCGTTAAACAGCACTCCAAATGTTACCTTTGCCCACACAATCAAATCATAGAATCAGCAACTCAATTCATTCTTCAGATTCAGATCTTTAAAAAATAAACAAGATCTCAGTGATCCTGCTAATTCATCACAGGGAATCCATGGATCTTGCCACGAAGAAAAATGCAGGTATAGGAAACACAATTTCCTTATTTTCTGTATAAATTTCACCCAAAAATTAAATTTTTTTAATGAATCGCATGGATCTGATGATGAACAATGCTTTGATGGATAGATAGATCCGCAGAAAAGCAGGAATTATGGGTGGGGTTTTGCAGAAATGTACCTTGTAAGAGCCATCATCTTGGATCTTTCCCAGCCGCTTGATCTCTTCTTTTAGCCTCTCAACTTCTTCTTCTACGTTCATCCTTCTCTCCCACTCTCTCTCTTCTTCTTCTTCTTCTTCTCCCCCTTCTCTCCCTCTCTTATGCTTCTATTATATACGGAGTATACTCCATCCATTCCTATCTAATTGTCCATTTCGCTTTACCTGTCAAACATTTGACTAACTATATATAAAAATATACAATGAATTAAAATATGAAAGTTATACTAAATTATTGATATTGAAAATAACTTTAAATGTATTGTTTTTAATATTCTTTTGCTAATATATTTTAAGAGATATTGTTGGTCAAATTTTGACTTCAAAAACTGAACCGGATTGTTAAATAGGAATGGAGGGAGTAATACACCATGATTTTCTTCTTTATGGAGCTTTATTCTTCCAATTATCATGGAAAAGATACTCGTATATATTTAAAAAATATTAAAATATCCTTTGCGAAAAAAACAAAGAACGGATATAATTCGAAAAATGTACTCTTTGATTTCATAGAATTTAAAAAAAGTGTACATGAATTTGTTTGAATGTTAGAGAATTGTTAAAAGTCAAGTATCTGTTCTTTAAATGAAACATGAGGAAGTGTGAATTTTATTTTTGGGTAGAAAACAAAATAAAATATGAATTTAATTGGGGACGAAAGAAGTAGTATGTGATAAGAGTGCTTGTATTGTGCGAGGGCATGATGATACATTCACATTTTTACCAATTTACTCGTATATGTGAACTCTAATACGGACTATATTCGTATATCATAGTATAAATCTCATGATTAATACATCTATGGAGTGTGTCCAAAATACAAACTTAACGCTATGTTTGGTTGCGGAATTCAGCAAGGAAAAAAAGATGATTCCTCACTTTTTTCGTCACCAAATTGGAATGAATAGAAAGATTTCTTTTCCTTGTACTTTCCATATTTTTTCTTTTCTTTTTCGTCACCAAATGGAATGAAAAGAAAGATGATTCCTCTCTAATCGAACAAAAAAATTATTTTCCATAATTATTTTCTTTTTTTTTTTAACTTTTTTGAACCAAATATAAAAGATACTATTAATTAAATATAATCTTTGATTAGCCCCATATCAGGATCCACAACACTTCATCCCCCACCCACTTCACCACACTCATGCATCAAAGCAAAATGCTGCCAATACACCACATGTGTCTCTACGAAGGATAATCACAGATGATATATACATGACGATAGTTTTTGTGAACACAGTTGATTAATGTAAATATGTGTATAAAATTACATGTAATTACCATAAGAATAACATAAATAAGGCCACTGAAAATGGTCTTGACGCCTTGGGGACGTTAAACACCGCCCCCAAGGGTATTTTTTTGGCGTTATCCTTCTTGTGTTAAACATTTATCGCAGCAGAAGCGAAGAAAGTCATTTCATGCCACCTCAACGGTCCAATATTTGATCATTGTCAAGTGTTAACAAAAAAAATTCAACTATAAATACTCTCTCATATTTAAAAAATATACGCACTCAACACCTTCACTCATACAATTCTCTATTTTTTCTCAAAAATCTTATCTTTCTCTATTAATTTTTATTCTTATCAAGAATTCCTTCGGTTCCTCCGTCCGGTCTTGAGCCAAAGGAGTATGTGAATAATCTTACGTTTTTGAATACATTAGCGTCCAAACATATGTATTACGAGAGAAGACAAAACGAGATCAAGGCTAAATATAATTTGCTTTACTTTTTTTATTGATGTAATTTTTAAAATTTAATGTTCTTTATTTATTGAATGCAATTTTTTATTTAATGAATTATTATCACTTAAAATTAATTATTTATTTAAATTTTATTAATTTAATTTTACAAAATGTGTGTTAAAAAATTAAAAAAAGGTCTGAAGCTCCGGGTTTTTGAATCTATTTCCAGTGAAACTGTAAGATAAGTTAAAATTGATGTGGCAGGAAAATAATTTTTGAAGTCCTGAGCTTCTCGACCATTTCCGGTGCCCTAAGAGCAAAAACAGCATAAATTTTAAATTCATGGTGAATAACTATATAATCTACCAAAGCAACCAAACCATATATTGTTGCAATAAACCCGCTTAACCATATATATGTGGGTCAATGGCAATCCTGTGGATTGCTGTGAAACCAAGGCTAGTATATTTCCCACCAAGTGGAGGGCTGTTTGGATCCACACTAAATTCATTTTACTCCTAAAATTCGCCTCGCAGTGAAAGAAACCCATCAATGGTGTGCGAGCGCGTGTCAGGGACGACGACGAATCATGGAGCAAACGATGTACGGTAATGAGGCACCCCCCAACACCGCCGTACTATACCCCGACCCAGATAATCCGCGCCCTCCGTTCGCAAACGATGAGGAAGACGGCGGCGGCGGCGGCGGCGGCGAGGATTCCATGGATGATGGTTCTCCTCACCTCCAATACGAACCGCACTCTCATTCCCAGGCTCTCCACGACGGCGCCACGGAGACTGATGCATCGGTGGACGGCATTTCCTCTCGCGGTTTCTATGCTCCGGCAGGATTGGAGAGCATTTCCGGCACGGCGGCCGGAGCTGGGGCTAATCAGCTTACCCTATCTTTTCAGGGCGAAGTCTATGTATTCGACGCCGTTTCACCTGAAAAGGTATTAAATTTTTCTTCATTTGATTTTTTTTTGTGTTGCAGAGCAATTATTATGAACTGAACAATCTGCACTCAGTGAATTAGGGAAATTAGGAAAACTGTTGCATTTGTATTCTTTTGAATGTGAATTTCATTATGGAATCCATGAATCAAATTGTGTGAAATTGGTTAAACTTGATGGATAAAAAAATTTCAGGTTCAGGCAGTGCTGCTGCTGTTGGGTGGATATGAAGTGCCATTAAGCATTCCCACTGATGGGGTACCTTCCCAAAATCAAAGGGTATTCTTCTGCAAGATTTTAATCAAGAAAGAAATAGGAAAAGTTTACCGTTCTCGTAGGTTGCAGTTGTTTCATCATTTCCAGTACCATTTCGTGCAGGCAACAAGTGAATTTCCTGGAAAATTGAATCAGCATCAAAGGGCTGTTTCTTTGAACCGGTTCAGGGAGAAGAGGAAAGATCGATGCTTCGATAAGAAGATTCGCTATACTGTGAGGAAGGAAGTTGCACTGAGGTTAGTTAGGCTTATAAGCCTATTTCATTCTTTCTTGTTGCCTTGTTGCTTGTCTTGATAATCTTGATAAGTGGGGTAAAATCGTCAAATCGATCATATGATATTCAACATATGGAGTTTTCTTAGTTTCTGTCTCAGTCTAGTATACCTTCTTCCATTGGTGTTCTTTTTCTCCCTCCACCCACAAAGATAGTCCAATATTTTCATTGTTAGTTGGCATTTAATTTTCAAGTCCATTGCCCATGGAGCTAAAAGAGCCATTTTTTATGATGTTTAATAATGGACTAGATCAAAATGGCACATTGAACTTCCATTTTTTTTATCAAAGATAAAACATTGCTCCCATATTGGAAATTGAAAATCTTACCGGAGTTAAAACAGAAACTGCATGAAAATGTTTAATCTTTCCAACTGACTTGATTCTTGTGGAAAGATAGCAGGCTATCTTTGTGGGACAGTTGGAGTAAGTTTTTGGTACATCTTTTTTTAAGCGCGCACATATTTGAAGAAGGTTGGGAGACCAGAAGGGAAGACTCTGTGCTACTACTGTACCTAGGAAAGCATAGATTGGCTGATATAGATGATTTTTCGATGAAGTATGAAAAAAAAATTAACCATCTAAAATGGTTGTCTTCAGTAACTTCGGAACTCCAAGCGACCAAGCCTACTTCACATTTACCAACCAAATAATCCGTGCGTAGTTAATACAATTAGTGTCTGATTTAAAAAATAATAATCTGTAGCTCTCAAGGCTGATAAGAAAACAAAAAAGGTTGCTACCAAACAGCCACTTATACTGTGAATGATACCAGCTCTCTTCATAATCTGTGTACATTGTGCTGTGTGACAGGATGCAGCGCAAGAGGGGTCAGTTTGCATCTCCCCAGTCAATGTCTGATGGTTCATCTTCTGCAGATTGCAACTCAAATTCCGGACAAGAAGATCAGGAAACATTGTGAGTTGTAGCCCTTTTTAGCTGCTGGAACGTTTTCAAGGTTCTTCATCGTTGGAGTTCAACCGACCTAAATTTCAAGCTCAGGTTTTTTGCACTATCAACCCGTAATTTGATTTAAAAAAAAACTTTCTTTTCGTTTCCTATTCAACAGCTGTAGTCACTGTGGAATTGGCTCCAAGTCTACACCTATGATGCGACGTGGACCAGCTGGCCCGAGGTCACTTTGCAATGCATGTGGGCTCAAGTGGGCCGCCAAGGTTCGCCTTCGTTTCGAGAATCTCATTCAGTGTGACAACTTTGCTCTATGAAGTTTTGAATTCCTTTAGTTTTTTGCATTTTCCGGTTAAGTTATGCATTATTTAGCTTCATAGTCTCACATTATCCATTGTTTGCCTTTATGAGAGAAACATATATACTTCTGAAATTTTAATATAAAAAATTACCAAAGTAAATATTTTCTTCAACTCAACCTCCCCAGACCCTACTTTTTGCGGGATTCAATTGGGTTTGTTGTTGTTAACCAGAGCCTATCTCCTTTTATATATTGCTTTCTTTTATGTATGGCTTTCTTCACTAAACCTATCAGGTGGCTTGCTGCATTTCTACAGGGGCTTTTGGGAGATGTGTCTAAAGCTCCATCCACTCATGTTCATGACCACAATGTCAGCTAGCCGGGTGAACAGGTCAGTAGGCCTTAGCCATCAGCATAGTTTTAGATTTGCTCCGCGGTCAAAAAGTTTGTTTACTTGAGTAAAATTTACTACAGGAATCCTAACTTTACCGCAACTATATTCCTCGTTCTAAAGCAACAATGGAGAAGCGAGCAGTTTTGGTGATGCCGTTATTTCTAATCGGGCCCCACCACCGACTGCCAAAGGGTGACACACACTCACCAGTTCACAACGTGTATACATATATAGTTTTAAGGAGTTGGAACTGATGGAATGACAGTAAATTGAACATTGTGGTATTGGGGTAATTCAGTGTACATAGAAACCTAGTAGTGTTCAGTGAAATTTGTGCCAGAGGCCCAGAAGTTTATGTATAAGAAGACTCCACTTCTGCTAACATTATTATGTTAAGCCATTTGTGACCTAGTCACTCAACTTAGTTTTGCTAGCATTGTTTTCATACGTAATGGGTGTGTGCTATATATAATTCCATTGTCTTTAAAAAAAAGTGTGTTTTTTTTTGTTTCAAAATTAGTTGCCAGTTACACTGTCAAAACAAAAGTAAAGAAAATTGGCGAAGGAAAAGTTGTCACTTTACACTTCCAAAATTTGTGTTTTTGTGTTTCGGTTTTTACAACACATTGCCAGAAAGAAAAGAGAAACTCATATTCCTGTGAATTGTGGCAATCCTACAAGAAACAAAAGGATGGGGGCAATATTTTAAGTTTCTTTACAAAATCACTTGATGATGTTTGGGACGAAAATTGGTCGACTAACATTAGAATCTACGCCTGCAACTTGAGAGAACGGGTTGATCAGCAAGACCACGGGTTGTGAAAGGAAGGTGAGTGTGCTGAATGAACAGAACTACTGTCGCTAGGAGAAGAAGAAGAAGATGGCGCTGCAGACAGATGGTTGCTACTGCTATAGCCCTTCTCAACTAACTCGGTTTCAAATGACAATGCATCCAATGTCTGCACGTGAATCAATATCAAGTCTTGTATCAGATTTCTAATATGTGGATAAAGTTTTAAGGGTATGCTTTGGCACAACTAGCTGAAACTGAAAGTTCAAATCCGGTTAGACGCTATTGGGTAGAACTAGATTTGGCACAAGTTAGATGCACAAAAATGAAATGGACATAAAATCACGCTTACGAATACATGTACAAATACAATGGGTAGTAGATAAATTAGAATAAGTTACTTGAGGACAATTTTGGCAGAAGTCCCATGAATGAGCAGCAATGAAAATTGAATTTTGTTAGCTTTTTTATCTCAATTCAATCAAATCACATAACTCCATGTCTCTATATATCCACGTGAGACTATTGCTATTCTAAAGAATTTGATTTGGGGAGTTTCAGTCTATAATGTGAGTTGAGGTGGGAATGCCAAACATAATATTTGTCTTCAGTGAGAATAACTAACCTGAAAAGCTTGCTCGAGGACACAATATCTATCTCGTGTGCGCTTCCTCTTCATAGCCATCTCATCAGATTCTTGCATCAACTCTTCAATGAGGTCTTCTCTGTTCAAACCATGAGACATCAAAAGTTGGGATGAGCACACGGTAACATAGTTTTGGCACACACAAAAAGAGGAATTTGTGAGGTATAGTGTCAAAAGGTAGTGACGCATAACAAAATATTGTCAATGACAGTTCAGTAAGCCAAACCGTGGATACTTATTGAGGCAGTAAAGAGATTCACTCTAACACAAGCGGGGTGGATTTGTATTTTTCATTTTATGGAGACGGTCTTGACATTTTACCTGTAAAGGTTGCTGAGAAAGAGATTGTGTAGCTCACGTTTCGTGTGATTTACCTGAGACGAGAATTGAACACCTATTCAGTCATCGTTTTCCTAGGAACCTTATGAACCACTTTCAAGCAAATGCTTATTAGTAAGAATTGAACACCAAATTAAATGACAAGCTGTACTCACAGGACGTTTTTAGAAATAGAAATCCAAATCCATAACATATTAACATGAAAGCCGTGTGTGTTTGTAGAGGATTTAATTTGCTATTAATACCAGGAAATGCATGATTGCTTTAGGCACAAAATCCTCAATAATCCCCCTAACGATGTCATAATAGGACCTCAGTAGCAATTTCATTGCTGCGACTTTAATGGCTTCATGGTCTGAAAGGGTTTCTGAGGGTATCAAGACATTTGGTGGCTTCAAGAACAATAAAAAGATTTATCTTATATGATAGTCAAAAAATTAAGAATAAAAAAACAATAAAGTCAGCTGCAATGGGATCTTATGTTGTTACCTTGTTTAAGTGGATTACAGAAAAGGGTTCTTCCATGCTCTGAGCAGGCACTGTGAAAGAATTACTGATTGGGTTTTGTTTGACAGACACCCGAGGATTAGATCCAGCAAAGATTGATGCTATTCCCCAACTTGAACGGGTTCTAGCTGCTGATATAGGTCAAGACATTTATTTAATAAAAAACAGCAACAAAGTTGTAACCCTCAATACACTTGTCCAAATAAATAAATCTACGAGGTGAGAGGGAAAAAAAGATGAGGAATGCGTTATGATATGAGCATGTCTGTACAAAAGATCTTTTACCAGATGATGTGGGGTTTTCAATTTCCTCTGTTGATTGAACACCCTAATTGTCACATGAAAAAAAAGCACTACAATTATTTGCTGATCCTGAACAATATAAAATGTATAAAGAAAATCCAATTGTAACTTTCTTTAGGTGGCAAAGAAACCAGATTCTATTCCCACAAAAAAAATTGTGTTGTCTCCATTGTAAAAGAGAGCAAATTTACTTTCCGCCAATGAACAGGCGCGGATGTAGCCATTCTGGAGGAATTGACCTGCTGATATGCCATCTCCATAGCTCTACTCCCACCAATAAATTGCGGGTGAGAAGTATTTATGCAATCCATCTACAAGGAAAAATCACCAAATTGCAGAAACCAACAATTTCATTTTGGATGGAAGTACTAATGTAATCCCTCTACAAGACAAATAATCTAATTGTGGAAATCTAACAATTGCCAGAGTTAAAAACATTGTGTAGTACGTAGTTTTTAAGTGGAAAATCCATATTTCAGAATTAAGATGGATATGAATAAAAGAGACAGGTATTTGTATATGTTAATTGAGATATGTTCAACCAACACCACCACAACAAACCAAGTATAAACCCAACATTGTTGGGGCCTGGGGTCAACACAGTATTTTTGTTATACCCTTGATGCATTGCCGCATTAACTACCCAAAACATCATAGAATGTAAGAAGCAATACAAGTTTATATAATTAATCTGCCATATGGATACGCTCGGGCAGAATATTTGAAAAGTCAGCAGTGAAAATGGCAAAATTAATTGGTTTTTGAGTTATAACAGAGTAATTTAAAATTAGGATTAGGCCATACCTCCATTTCTATCATATCTTCTATCCTAGACTTCAATGGCTGGAACTCTTCCCTTAAGAAGCTCCTTAATATCTCATCCATACGTTTCCTCAAAACGGGAAACAGTTGTAGTTCAGACACCAGACACTGATGGCTCATCTGGAAAACAGACTCAGTGTAAAAATACTAACGCATAAATTGCACCATAATTCAGCATTAACTTACTTTGATCAGCTCGTCATAAATAAACCATGGACATTGAAGACTTGGGTCCTGAAGATGTGCTATTTGTCTTCGTACAAGAATTTGAAATGGCAACTACACATTTACACACTAATTTTGTATACTATAAGCTCCATTAGAATGTTCAGAAAATGTAGCATAATAAGTAACAAAGAAATTAAGATTATAATTGCAAAAGTCAATTCAAGCCAGTTCATTATTTATTACGAGTACATACTTCAAGCACATACAATGAAGATTGAGGGCCTGCTGCATTTTGAATGGCAGTATGTATGTTTTCATCTGTTAAATCCTTAAAAGGATCAATCTCCTGCAAAAGATGCCAAGAATAGTAATGTGAATTGTGAAATTCTGAGGAATCAACTAAGCTCAAAAAGCAAACCAGCAACACCGACAACCACCCAGCATGATCCCCCACTCCGTCGGGATCTTGGGGTCAAGATGTAAGCAACCACCCCTATAAAATTAGAGGTTGTTTTCGTTAGACCCTTGATACATTCACGGCTCCTAAGCTCCATTGGTAATGGTCCAAATTGCCAAGCAATCCAGTGAAGAAATTTTAAAAATCAACACCCCCACACGCGTGTGCGCACACACATACCCAACTTTTTTCGCAATTAGTTAGCGAACAGTGATGTCCATGGAATTTATCATACACTTTTATTAATAAGGGCTGCATGTGTTGAAAATCAAAGAAATACAAAGTTTCTATTGGCCGCGTCTTATTACCTCAAGACTCTTCACAAATATGTTCTGGAAAATGTAATGGATTCTTGCTCCACCATAGATCTCTGATGTCAACACATCGTCATTTCTTCCTTCTATCATCGACAAAAAAGCTGACGAAAGGAGTATACATAGTGAGATGGCATGGCTTACTACGTCAAAGTTAGTTCTAAAATAAAACTAAACATGGCTTTGGTGACTTCCAAAAAAAGCAATACTTGATTCACTAATCTTCAGTAGATAAATGAGGAAAAATCACTATTTACCTTTGGAATACTTCGAAAGAATGTTGAGGAGTTGTTTTTTCATATCACCCTGCATTGGAGTCGTGTGAACAAGTTACCATCAAATTGTAGAATCTACCTACAACAAGGACGATGACGACAAACCCAATATAAACCCAACTCGAATGGAGTATGGAACGTGTAAAAATAGAGAGGCTGTTCCCGTTAGACTGTTGTTGCATTGATGCATTTACTTCCTAAAAAACCATAAGTAGTCCATAAGAAGCAAGGGAAGTTTGACATGTCGTTTGGATTTAGTCCAATATTTACCCGAAGCTAACACGTCGCTAAAATGGACTCTTTTAGCTCCATTGGCAATGCACACAACGTTCTAGTATCTACCACAATATATCAAGCTACATAAAAAATACTAAAATACTAAGCAACCCACAGTTTTTGGCAACAACATGCCAACACCTTCAACAACACTTCAACCACAATGAATTTCAAAGATCGGTTAGATAACATGCAGATGCAGTACCTTTTCCTCAGCAACATATCCATAGCTAGTTTGTTCTTTAACAACAGAAGCAAGTGCAGCACTAATACATGACTTCAATTCTGGAAGGCGTGTTTTGATGTGTTGTGCAAGAATCTGTTGAATGAAAAAACATGGTGGGAGGATACCATACATTCAATTTCATTTATTTCCTTAAATATAAAAAATAAAAGTATGAGATGCAAACACCTAATTGCCTCCAAGGGTAAAAGTAAATTAAGTAGTAAATAACAAAAAAGGTACACGCTTCTCCTGGGCCTTTATATTCAGTTGCAAGCTAATCACATGGGGAAATGAAAGTGTGTTGTAAAAATGTAATCTTTGCACTTCAGCTTGGAGTTTATACCTTATTTAACTTTTTTCCCAACTGAGATGCCCCACAGCAATCAGCAAGATCACTATAAATCTTCATCCAGAAAAGTTATAAACATGTGCAAGGTTCAAGTGTTTCGATAACTTAAACATAACACACTGATGCCATACTGAACATAACTTAAATATAACAGACTGATGTCATACCGGACGTCTATGAAAGAACTCTTCCTCAGCAGCAAGTGCATCCTTTATACTTCTATTCATCAGTATATCCTGTTTGAAATAATCAGGCAAATGATCTTCTGCTTATATAAATGCAAATCATCATTAACATCGTTGCACAGTGTATCTACACAAGCAAAACAAATTCTAGTTTCTTCAATATGTAGCTATACAGCACCATCCTATGTGCGAAGATTGAACATGCACTAAACAAATTTTCATCATACATCAAATCTAAATCTTCATATAGGTGAAAGCTGAAATTCACCTCTTGGCTACGATTTACAACCCCAACATAACCGAGACGAAGTGGAATTACTTTCCCGAGCAAAAAATTGCGAGCATTTGTGCCTCTGTCCATAATGTCTAACTGAAACATAAAATGACATACAATCAGTTATTAAACAAACAAGAGACATTCAAATGTTATATGATGCGCATCCAAAAAAAATCTATTTTCAGCGCTCACCTTTGTAATCACACCAATGGTTCGATCCCCTACATTAGAAATCAGTACCAATAAAATATCAGCACAAAATCGATTCTTCTCGTTTTATCTTGTTTGAGTTGATTTAACTACAAGATAAAAGGTAAAGCGGGCACCATGTACCATCCGGGTCTGCACTTCTAGAAATCTGAATGGCATCTGAATTAGCTAAGTCAGAATTAGCCGGCGTAACAGCCAGTATCAAGCAGCTTGGATTGTCAATATATGACAGTATCATTTTCCTGATCTGGTCTTCAATGTCAGAAGGCTGATCCCCGACAGGCACCTTTGTTATGCCTGGCAAATCAACCAGAGTGATATCCAGAACGTTTGGGGAGAATATTTTTAAGGTAATCTTTTTGTCTGAAACACCTTTGTTTGCTCCTGCTCCCCTCTCAGTCTCAGCCTAAATCCAGTTGATAATTAATGCACATGAATAACAAAGATGAAATTAATAACTGTTAGTGAATGCATTATGTTTTGGTGTTAATGAGCTTATTCTAGTTGGGCCAATTAGGTCAGAGCTATCAGCTATGTATCTACAAACATTGCTTTTATGTTAAATGAAATCATTCAATTCCGGCCAGTTCTCATAAAATTCTACAATAACATCGAAATGATAAGCATATCATAAATTCATCATCACCGTTTGATGCTTAAGAACAGAAAGTGATTCAATTTGGGGCTTGCTGAGAAAAAAATTGCCTGAATTTGGTATAATGAAAAAAAAAGTTACCTGAATTTCTCTACGAATTTCACTGAAATCGTAGAATCTAAAGCCAGGGAGATGGAGGAACTGTCCCCACTCCTCATCGGCGCCGTTAGGATTCCGTTTAGTCTGGATGAGCTGAAGCACGATAGGGCGGCGAGTGCAAATGTCGGAACCTTTAGGCAGGAAGTCGCGGCCGACGAGAGATTCCAGGACGCTGGATTTGCCGCTGCTCTGGCTCCCAACGACGGCTACCTGCGGCAGCTCAATCGGCGGCTGGCCGTCGAGCCGGGCGAAGATGTCCTGGAGCTTGTTCATTAGGGGAATCACCGAGTTCCCCATCGACGGAGCGGGAGAATCGGCGTTTTCCGGCACCATGGATACAGAAGAATGGAATGTGTACGCTGTAAGCACTGTAACTTGTAGACGAGACTTAAAAATTAAAAACAATGTTATTAGAACCGGACCGGACCGGCCGGTCCAACCGCGAACCGGTGAGCACTCCGGTCCGGTTCAATGATAAAAACCGGAAAACGATCGACCCGCCCAAACCCGGTAAACCCGGCAGAACCGGTGGACCGGGTCGACCCGGCCGACCCGCGGGTTGGGTCCTTTTTTTTTTTACTATAAAATAAAATGTTGGAGTTAGGAATCGAACGCTAAACATCACCATACACCTCTCAAGACTCTAACCACTTAAGCTACTAAGTACTTGTTACCAAAATCATGCAGAATAGTATATATAGTGTTTCTTATTTGTGTTGAGGGAATTTAGAAAATTTTTAACTATTTGTAAGAAAGAATATGTTTGTGTTGCGTAGTTATTTTATAATCTTTTAAAATATTTCAAAGTAAAAAATAAATATTATTTTAAATATTATTTTTTGTATTAAATAATACGGAGTAATGAATAAATTACATCTAAACAAATATTATCATCTATAAAATGAAGAAATACTCCGTATATACTAATTATATATTACAAAACATGGGAAGTGTGAAAGAATATATGAACAATAACATTGAAAATAACATGGAGAAGAAAAAACACAATATTAAATATTTTATTTAACATTAAAAATAATATTTACATCTTTCTTTACAAATGATAGGTATTTAAGTTATGTGGTAATATTTTATTATCTTTAAAAATAGTCCACAAAACATGGTATTATTTACTTTTTTATTATCTAAACATAAATATGAATGTTATATACCAAGGCATGGGTTGTTGACCGGGTCGTTAACCCGAGTCAACCCAGTTCAACCGGTTGACCTTTGACCCAGTAGCTTATCCGGTTCGATGTCCGGTCCGGTTTTCAAAACATTGCTTAAAAACGATCTCTTGACGCCCAAGAAATAAAAAACAACTCGCATGGCCATGGCAGATAGTCTACCATTTCTAGCCGGACCGGGCGCATGGGCGGGCGAGGAGTTGGTTAAATTTTAAAATTGTTTTTCTTTTTGGCATATAAAATTTCATATAGACGTTCATTCTAGAGTATTTGTCTATTTTTAACTTTTTTCAGTCAATCGTTTTTAAACTTTTGATATATAATTAAATACTGTAAAATATACTCGTATATTGTATATTTGTTAGATAAAAAGATATTTTGAAAATATTTTATATAATACGGAGTATATGTATATTACATCTACTTTGGTCTTTGTTCATTCCTTTGCATTCGATCCATCTTTTCGACCCAAGAGCGTTTTTTATAGCTTTATAAAAATCACCCTAAATAATATGACTAAGACAAAAAAAGTACCATCAATATTGGACTTTCATATTTTTAATCTCGAAATAAGAGTTCGCACTGTGGTAATATAAAAGTAATGTGACACTGTACGCGTGCACAATCTATAATTTTTCGTAATGTTGATCACGTTTGGTAATGTAAATATATTTTAACTTATTTGGAGAATAAAAATATGAAAGTCCTAGCTATTTTGGTATATTTTTAATGTTTTATTTCTACTTTACTCTTTTTCTCATAGCTTTACAAGTGTTTTTTTTTTTGCAAAATTAAAACTCAAGCTTTTTATAGTGTTTATTTACTAGTTCTTCTTTCGTGATCTTAAGATCTTACATGTAAAATATGGATATTCAATTTTCAAACTTTTTATGGATTGAAATGTAAATCTTTCTTTTTTGTAAACGGTTCAATTCTTCTATGTCATAATAATTATAATAGTAATAATAACAATCCATTCGTCCCAGAGTATTTGTTCATGTTTGACTTTTTAGTCAAAATTGGTAAATTTTGACTTCAAATTAAACAAAAATGGTTCTCCGTGTTAGGTATTGATACAAAAATAATTATTTTGTTAGACTTGTCATATGAAACATTTTCAAAATATTATTTTATCTAATTAGTATATACTCTGGGGGTAATATATATGTCAAAAGTTTAAGTATAAGTTTAAGTATATGTCAAAGTTTATCCTGGAGTAATATATATTTTATTTAAGTATAAGTCAAAAGTTAAAAACGATTAACTGAAAAAAATCAAAACTACACAAGTACTTCAGGACAGAGGTAGTAATAGAAGAAGCAATAAACACCAACAATAATCACAATAGCAACAACAACAACAACATAGTGATACATAGTATAATAATACAGTAATGATAACAATATATATGGTCGATGGCGGGGTACTATAAATTAACAAGAGTATATATATAGTACATGTTGAAGTGGTTTGAATTGAAGTGTGCGTTTTAAGATGCATATTATATTCCAGCTATATAGTGTCAAACTAATAATGCATATATAAATAATTCCATCATCATCAACATTCAACATCATCCATCATATCATGCATGGATTCAATGATTCATGGATGTATGTGCATGCATGCATGCATGCCCTTGAGAAAACAAATGCAGAGCTTCTTCCAAGCCTCCTTGCTCGGCTCTTCTTCCCTCTCCACCCTCCCCTCCGCCTCCACCGCTGTCTCTTCCTTCATTTTCATGTAATTAATTATTTGTTAATCATCAACACAAACAATTAACTAATATTCCCTCTCTTTTATAAATCGGTTTCTATTTTGAATTTGAGGAGAAATAAAAAGTGTACATTTGTGATTGATTTTCCAATGTTGTCCTTGATGTGATATGTGAAAGTAAGATCTGATTAGTAGATTATTAGTGAAAAATTATGATGTCATAGGTACATTAAAAAAAATAAGGGTAAATGTGATTTTTTAATAGAAAGTGAAAGTGTTTTGGTGAAAAAATGAAAGATGAATTGTTTTAAGAAACTGGAGGAGTATAATCGATCATCATCATCGTCATCAAACTTAAAACCGGATATATTTAGATATGTTTGTGTACCTGGATAAGGTTGCGTTTGGCAAGACGATGAATGTGACCGAGAACTATATCCTTGGTGTACTCTGGGTGGCTCTGAATCCCCATCATATGATCACCATACTTAAACATCTCTATTCCCGTCTTCTCCGACCATGCCAATATCTCCGCCTCCGCCGGAAGCTCTTTTATCTAACCATATTATATTAAATAATACTTAATCAATACATACTCCGTAATCAAATTTGGCGGGGTTAAAATTGAGCGAGTTTTGAATAATTGAAGAATACAATGCACAAACCTCGTCTTGGTGGAACTCGAGAACGTCGAGGAAAGGCGGCATTTTTAGGGAGTTCAAAAGCTCCGACGACTGAGAAAAGTTGACGGTGGTCACTCCGATGTCCCAACCGGTGGCACTGCGCCCTGTTTTTCCTCCTATGGCCCGACCCAATATCTACAACACAACATATTTTTAATGAAATAAAACTGGGACATAAGCTAAGACACTTGGATTGAATATGATAATTTCAAAAAGATTGAATTTAATTGGTTATTTAATAATAAAAACTCGACCAAAAACTTAAGTTTATAGTTGCAGGCACAGAAAATGTAATAATGTCTAGCTAGTTTAAAAAGATTGAATTTAATGGATTACTTTAAAAAAAAAGCTAGCTTAGCTACCTGGTGGCCGAAGCACAGGCCAAGAACTTTCTTCTTCATGGAGTCCAACCTCCTGACGAGACTCAAGAGGTTGCATATCCACGCGTCATTGTCGTGCGCGTTGGCACTGCTAGCGGTGATGACGAAGCCGTCGAAGCTGTCGATCTCGTCCTCCGCCGGAAACTCGCCGCGATACACGCGGAAGAGGGCCCACTCCTCCCCTTCCTCCGCCAGCATCGCCATGTACACCTGCAGATATCCGCCGTACCTCTCCGTCACATGCTCCGGATCCTCCGCGCATTGGAGCAGTGCAAATCTCTTTCCAACTTCCATACTGTACGTTTTTTTAATTAATACGTATGATGATCAGAATGAATATTTATTAGGATTAATTATAATAAGTGGAGGGTGGTGTATGTTAGAATGGGAAATGATGGAATTACTGGGTAATTATAATTATATATATATACTGCTCCGGGGTAATTATTATAATGATTAGGGTGAGATCAAGACATATGCAACAAGTGAGATCATAACTGACCTCAAAGAGGATATGGGAAAAGTTAACTTTATTCTTCTCTTTTACTATTAAAAAAATCAAATTTTTACGACCAAGTTTAATTTTTTTCTTTTATTTATAATTACCCCCTCCATCTATAAATTTCTTTCCCAAGCTAGTTTCACCTTTTGGTCAAATTTTATAAAATTTTACCACAAATTATAGAATTAGTAAATTAAATTGTTATATCAATTTAACATTAATAGATTTATTTTTAAATATAGTTTTGAAATATTATACTCAGCTCCTATCTACACGGTCAAACTTTAATCATTTTCTTTATCTATTTTCGTTAGTCATTTGATAAAATAATATAGTTTTGTCACCTCTTGTTTGGTACTCGTAGAATTTTTGTCGTTTTTAAATATATAAATTTTATTTTTAAATTTTACACTTACAATCAAATAAATTAAATGAAAAATAAAGTCGTTCAAATCTCATAAACACAAACGGGAATAATGTTTTAGGACGGAAGGGTATTTCTATAATGTATATATATTTATATAAAAATATAGATGTAATAATCAAAATGTTATATTGGAGATTGTGAAAAGTCAAATAGCGAAAAAATTTATATAGGCAAAGAAAGAACTATTCTATTTGTCTCTATTTAATAATTAATCTTCCTGACATTTTAATTTCTCGTTTTTAAAAGATGTTGACTATGAAATCGATTTGTCCATAAATACACATACTAAATACTCCGAAAATGCTTATTAGATCAAATCCCAATCAAGGGAAGAAAAGAGAGGATATTTTTTCCAAACATATAGCCCCCAAATTCACAGGCCCATTGTCCCCGTTCCTTCCATTAGTCAACAATGAATTCAATAAGACCAAATAATTACGCAGTTTAAGGACGTTTAAAAGAGAATGCAAAAGTGGAAATTAGACATCATCATGCCAACTCATAAACCCTAATTTTGGGACAATAAAGAATAAAATCCAAATCACGTGAAATATCATTAATTCATAATCTTCCATTGTACTCCGTATATTACACAAAAGGCCTAATTCTTTTTATAATATCAATGCACTAAGTTCAATAAATAAGCACTGTCAATAAAAATATTTCTATTTTACTTTGTTTGTATAACCACTAAACTTTTGGAATATCATTCAGAATACATTTTGAGATATTTTCTCTGCTGCGTCTTTCTCTTTCTTCAACACTCTTCTCTCTCGTTGTTACAGAGCTTCAAAACTATCTTCTTCCTTGAAGAGCTCCCACGCATGTATGATTGGTATCAGAGCGTCGTTCTGGGCAAGAACTGTAGATCGCAACGTAAAGCAGCGCTCATATCCTAAGATGAAAAATCAATCCCGGAAGATGGCATCAATCGAAGAAGCTCTCAAATCTTTTATCGATCAACAAAGGGTGTTAGCAATTCGAATGGGACAACATAATCGAAAGCTTGAAGAAGAAGAATCACAAACAATTTGATACTCCGTAACAAATACTACGAGTAACATTTGGGGATATTTCCTCTATATTTCAAAAAAAAAATTACAAACCAAATTGTGATACCCATATTTTATTTTATCAAATAATCAATGAAAATACACATATAAATAAAAGTAATTGGAAAAAATAGTAAATGAACGATGATTAATAATAATAATAATATCATTAACAATAATTGCAATGAACCACTGCATGCCCCTCATCAGGCTCCAGAGATTCTATATATATCCATAGCTATTTATGTACATATATATAAATAACAGTGTACATAGTAAGATTATTGTTCTTTTATCCTACAGGATCCCCAATGAGTAATTAAATAGTCGATCTTAATTAACTACTAATTAAGAGGAATTTCATTATATTTAACACATTCCAATTACAGTACGTATACGTACTCTATATTCATCGTCATCATCATCCATATATGAGCCGGGGATAAATATGATATGATATGATGGATCATCATTATTTATCATATCCCAATTGTATACTCCTGCCGTTTCACAAAACACTTTCGTCCATATTTTTTGCGCATCCTTCAAAAATTTTCTCCCATCCCACTTCGTAGTTAATTGCGAGTGGAAGTTATTTCGAAGGTATTTTAGACATTTTAGGTGGAATAGAACTGTTTTATGGGACACGCTAAAAATTAGGGCGAAAGTGTTTTGTGGAATAACGGGGGAGTATATATGAATTGGATTTAATTATTTGAATGATCCCTTGAGGAAAGTAATGCAGATCTTCCTCCACGCCGCCTTGCTCGGTCCATCATCTTCTTCTTCATATCGTCCTACTTTTTCCTTCTCCACCTTCGCCTTTGCCCCGGCCGCCGTCTCCGCCTTCAATTTTATGAATTCAAACATCTCATTAACTACGTAATAAATTCATGCAAGCATCATCATCATCATCATCATGGTTGCACATGAATATTATAATTATGTGGATTTTTCGTTTATAGGGGCACGCACAAAAATATAAAAATATCTATCTCAACATCAAACAAATGAGTATCACCCTCATTTATAGGTGCATCATGGATTTTAGATATAGATCTCCATTAGAACTTGCCTTTATTCTATTTCTCTGATCAGAAATGATCTTTCCATTTTTTTCACAGTCTTCAATGTAACATCTTGACTATTTATATCTAGATTTTACAAAAATTTAATATTTCAAAACAACATTTTATAGGGAAAGTACTGATATTATATTTATATCAAAACACAATGTGTTTTTTTGCATATGTTGAGGTCAAAGTTTACAAACTTTGACCAAGAAACATCTAATGGAAAGATCATTTCTGGACAACTTCATTAAGAGTATGTTTGGAACAACATTAGAAATTAGCGTCAACGTTTTGGATAAAATTCTAGTGATTCAGATTACTTTAAAAATGCTAACGCTTAACGCTGCTTGTAGATATATAGCTTTTTCAAAACGCTAAGGGTCCGTTTGGTACATGGAATTGAAGGAATTGGAATTGAATTGGAATTGAAATTCCATGAGATTCAATTCCATAGAATTGAATTCAGCCATTCCAATTCATTTTTTGTACTATCAATTCCAAATCCACATAAGTTTTTTGCTACCAAACACCAGAATTGGAATTGAAGTCCTCAATTCCAATTCCATACTTTGAATTCCATGTACTAAACAGGGCCTAACACTAATCTATAACGCTATTTCCAAACAGGCCCTAATGCACCCTCGATCTCTTTCCTTTGAGGGGAGGTTTATAAAGAAATATGAAGCCCCTTTAATTCATTATTTCTTTTTAAATTTTTTTAGAAAAAAGAATTAGCAAAATTTAAATATTTAATTAAACCCATTTCAGAATTTCTATGGAGTATTAAGTAATCGGTGATGTAACTATGTTATTTTATAAAATAATCAATAAAAATATAGGTTGATAAAAATTGAGTTGTACTTCCATGAACTCATGGTCTAGCTACATGGTAAATGTGAACCTTCTCACGTTTTTATTACAATTACGTACAGATTACCTGAATAAGGTTGCGTTTGGAAAGACGGTCGATGAGGTGGAGAACAATGTCCATGGTGTACTCAGGGTGACCTTGAATGCCCATCATATGATCACCATACTTAAACATTTCTATTCCAGTCTTGTGAGACCATGCCATTATCTCCGCCTTCGCTGGAAGCTCTTGTATCTATCTTGTTTAATGTTAACGAGTTAGAAAAAGAATATCAAAACTTAAGTGGCGTTGGCGTAGGGACTTGTAGTATATATATTGATTAACAAAACTTGATACAATGTCAAAGAATCAATTCAGCCGAAAGTTTGAACTTGTAGTTGACCGACCTCGTCTTGGTGGAACTCAAAAACATCGAGGTAAGGCGGCATTTTGAGGGAGGTGAAAAGCTTCGACGGAGCCAAGTGTACGGTGGTAACTCCGATGTCCCAACCATTGGTGTTGCGCCCCGTCTTTCCTCCTATGGCCCGGCCCAATATCTTTAATCAAGTAAAATTTAAAATGAGAAGTTAATGTTAATTTGAAGTAGTTAAATAATATAGCCCGGCCCAATTTTTATTTTCATTTTTTGTACTGTTTGAGAATGGTCATAATTTTATAAAATATTAGCCAGATAAATTATTCATAATTTAGACTAATTTTGACTAATTTTTAGACCTTTACAAGTCAAAAAAATAACTTTTATTTTTTGTAAAAATGTAAATGATCATCAAGATAATAAGCATTTGCCTATCACCCTCAATCCTAAGCTAGGTCTACAAAAAATTATATGAAACCTAGGCCCACCATAGAATTCATTTTTATATAAAGACTTACAAAGTACTCCGTAATTTGTGGTTTTTGACCCGGTCAAAAATAATTAAATTAACTTCGTTTTAGCTTTAGGCCGTATGTTAGGCCGTGTGTTATCATGGCATGAGGAGGGCGTAGCCCCTTCCTGGGTGAGGGCCATCCCGCGTGGCCTCCTCTTTCTCTCTTTTTAATTTCAATTAATCAAAATAATTAACAATTTCACTCCATCACTTTTTGGTCACGTCCGTCTTTCAAGCTCCACAACACACAAATTTTTATCTTTCCACGTCACACACAAAAAAATCAAAATTTTAAAATTGTGACGACAATGAGAAATGCAGATCTCCACCAAATTAAAATGTACTCGATTTTGCAGACCAACTGGACAAATATATACAGTATTAAATTCTCGCATTTAAAACATTGCCAACTGTGGTACGCGCGCCAGGTTCACGTTTCTGTTTGGTCCAACTACTTAACACAATATGGTTTTATTAGACTTTTATATTGTGTTTTGTTAATTGGTACATGGAATTTTTGAGAGAAAAAGAAATAAAAGAAGTTTTTCTTTCTATTTTCCTCAACAAAATGTATGAAAATTATTTTCTTTTCCTTTGATTCATTTCCTCTTCAATGTTTTTTTCTTCTACTTTCTTTTTCTTTTTCTCTAATCATTTTAGAAAAATTAATTTTCCTTTCATTTAATTTTCTATTTTCTTTCAAATTCCTTAAACCAAATATGGTGTTAGGAATATTTTACTCCTTTTGTCTCAGTATGCCCAATTTAATTTTTTCGAGTTATATTACTAGTACAATTTTTTGATTTTTTGCGCTATATTTTGATGAGTCACAATGGCGCATCCAGAAAACTAAGGCTAAAGGGAAAAGAGATACTGGAATATGGGGCGTGAGATCCGATCACTCATACACATTCGTGTAACATCTCTCAAACTAATATCAACTTCTTAAGAACATTGGCAATGGCGAGTCTAAAGACTGCCTTGTCATGCCACATAGGACTTAAAGTAGGTATTAGGTGGGTATTGTCACGCGTGGGAGGAGTATTCCTTCATGATATGCAAGGCATGTGCAAGGCATAATCTCTCTTTTTTGTTTTTTATTTATTTATTTTTATTTCAAAAACATAAAAAATTATACAAGAAAGAATTATTTATTTGAAAAAGTACATCTATTTTTTTTGGGAAAAAGATTGGAAAAAAAAATTAATAATTAAAATATATAAAAAAAAGTGTAAAAATGATACTCCCTCCGCCCTAAAATGTTCTTCCTTGTTACTTTTCACACGGTCAAACTTTAATCACTTTCTTTACCTACTTTCAATAGGTATTTGATAAAATAATATTGTCTTGTCACCACTTGTTTTGTGGAACTTTTGATGAAGTTTTTAAATATATAAATTTTATTTTTTAATTTTACAGCTACAATCAAATAAATTGAATTGAAAATAAAGTCGGTCAAACTTCGTAAACACAAACGAGAAGAACATTATAGGATGGAGGGAGAAAAAAACAATGACTTGCCACTGCATAACATACTACTCTACTTATTTGCCATACGCTAATTAGATTATTTTTGATTGGTTGAAATGTTGTATGTCATCGTGTGGCATTTTATTTGCGTCTTACCATTGCACATGCTCTAAACGCATGGGTTGGGGCGTGGGATCCGATCACTCGATGTGAAAAAGTTTGGGGTACATGCTTCCACGGCACCCCCACCAAATTTTCTAAGACAATGTGAAATAATAACCAATAATTTATTTTATCTAAAAAAAACATTCAAATATAAATTCAATGAAAAGTATCAAAAAAATGCGCCGTGTGATCTCACATTTACTCTTTTAATTTTAAAATATTTATTTCCAGATTCTATTCTTATAATTTTAAATGTTCCACTTTCAAATTAAATTCTTTTACCTTTAAAATAGACTACATATGCTTTTTTTTTTTGAAGCAGACTACATATGCTTATGATTAGTCATATATAGGGTATAAAAATATATATTACCTCCGTCCCGAGCATTTATCCAGTTTTGAATTTTTTCAGTAAACTGTTTTCAACTTTTGACCTATACTTAAATAAAATATATATTATATATTAATTAGTTAAAATTACATTTTGAAAATATTTTATATAATAAATATAATAGAACTATTTTTGTATCAATATCTAATATCATTTTTATTTAATTAGGGATCAAAGTTTACTAATTTTGATAAAAAATGTCAAGTGGACAAAATTATTAGACAAAATTTCTAAGGTAAAGTACTTTTATTCAATACTCGGCCTTTCTTTTTAATAACTTCTGATTATTTTATTTTTTTTAGAAATATTATTGGTCAAATTAATACATGGCACAAAAGTGAAACATACCATATTAACATATAGGGAGCAATTATTTAATGCAAATATTTCTAAAAATAATCGAGAGGTAAAAGTGGTAACCTATGGGTATATTTTTAACATATAGGGAGCAATTATTGTTCAAAAGTAAAAACAATAAAGGAATGGGAACTCAGGTTGAACTGTCCCGGGATTCGGACCAGAATCTTAACGGTTCCAAAAGATTTCGATATCAATTCCTACATTTTGAAAAGGGATATGCTAGGGGTACACCAAAAGTGTACTCCAAATGTACACCACTTGCCTCTACACCATTCATTTTATTTTCTTTTTATTTTTTATTTTTTTTGAAATTTTCTTGCCTTTTTTGTGTGGTGATGGAGGGGGTGGGGATGTTTGGGGTACACTTTTGGTGTACCCCTAGCATTTTCCTTTTGGAAATCAATAACTTGTCCCAATCATACCTCGACGGCTAAAACTTAACATTTGTGAATTTATGTTTTTATTTTTTCATTTATTTGAAACCATTATTAGAAATTGCTATTTTTCTTATTTGATAAGTTTATGCGTTTTGTGAATGTTTATAAAAATATTTCTTGAGTCACAACCACAAATTTGAACTTTTGGTTTTTTGACAGAGTATCAAAGCCTTATTGACTAAGAGGTCACGAGTTTGAAACTCACCGCTCTCTCGTTTTTAAAAAATTTAAAATTTCACGTGCAAAATTAAAGAGGTAACGCTTGTATATGAGAGTGTGTTAGGTTATACTCCCTCCGTCCCGCAAAAAGGTTCCCCTTTCTTTTTTCATCCGTCCCAAAAAACACTTATCATTTCCTTTTAAAAAATCACTTTTATCCCTAATAATTCTTAACCTACCTATCACATCACACTTTTTCTCTATTAATCTATCCATCTCATCCTACTTTATTCAATACATCAAAGGGCATTTTTGGAAAGTTAATACCAAAATACACTCCCTCTAAATCCTCAAAACATCAAAACGAGAACTTTTTTAAGGGACGGAGGGAGTATACAAAAATCAATAACCGCCCACCCAAAAAAGACCGAGCGATAATTGCCCATTTCAAAATCCGAACCGGAACAGGCCCGTGTCAATCCGAACCAACGGGGTTGAAAATTACTCCATGAATAATGGATGGAAAAAAAAAGATAAGATCACCTGGTGGCCAAAGCAAATGCCAAGAACTTTCTTCTTCATGGAGTCCAACTTCCTGAGAAAGCCCAAGAAGTTGCATATCCAGACGTCGTTGGCGTGGGCGTTAGCGCAGCTCCCAGTGATGACGAACCCGTCGTAGCCGGCAATCTCGTCCTCCGCCGGAAACTCGCCGCGAGCCACCCGGAAGAGGGCCCACTCCTCCCCCTCCTCCGCCAGCATTTCCAAGTACACCCCGAAATACCCGCCGTACCTCTTCTTCACGTGCTCCGTGTCCTCCGCGCATTGGAGCACTGCGAATTTCTTTCCCGCCTCCATTTTTTTTACTTTTTTTTTTACCTATAGGTATATACAGTGAATATATGAATATTTAGGCCGGAGGAAGGAGAAAGATGAATTAAATTAGTTTTCACGGCCGGCGTGTGGTATATATATATATATATATAGGTTTAATTTAATAAGAAGAGCGTGGGAAATGGAAATAAAAATAGAAAAGGAAATGAATGAGCTCCTTAATTGTAGCTCCCCATTAATATACTCCGTATCATACTAAATATTTTTATTCCACTTAGGCCATACTCTTTTGGATTAAAAAAAATTATTTTTAATTTCTTTTCAATTTTTTAAAATTTTCCGACTCCTTCCAATTTCCACTTAAAAAAATATTTATATGTGATGAATACACAATAACATTATATATCCAAATTTATAACGTACTCTCTAAAATACAGACAATGATAACTTCTTTTTTTATTCAGTAACTTCACCACAAAAAATGCGGAATTGGCACAGATTTTGACACGAAGTTCAGTTTCAACTTTTCCATCTTAGACTATTTGGCACAGATTTTGGCACGAATCGAATGGATGCCAATTCCGAAGCTCCATACTCTTTGGCACGATCACTAAATCCGTGGCAAGTCTTTGCACGGATTTTGGTACAACTAGTCCGTTCAAAGATCACAATTCTAAATTGCAACGTGACAGCTTGTAGGCACGAAGTGAGCCCGTGCCAAATAAGCACAGTCAATATCCGTGCAAAATATGATTTCATTATTTTAAAATTTTTAAATCTCGTCACGTACAAAATTCATGCCAAACATAAATTTGAATTTCGAAACTTATATTGGACATCACCTCTTTTGGTACGGAAGCAGTCCGCGCCAACATTTCATGTAAATTTAAAAAATTGCATTTTTTAAAAAAACTAATTTATAAATGAAAATACTTCGATAAAAAAATAAATTAAATATTCAAATATTCAATAATGTGATAAATAAAAAAGCATACACCACATGCAATAAATTAATATTGCATGTCACTTTAATATTACAAACTTACACTACCAGGGTATTTAAAGTTCAAATTCCTCATCAATTTTTATTATTGTTTACAAATACTAATATCATAATTTTTTTAACTACTTTCTTGATCTGATCTGGTCTGATCTACAACAACGAAATGACAATGAATTGCTGATAAAATTGCATCATAAGAGGCATCGTCATCTGAGGCAATGAAAAACAAAATCCAGGGGTCATCGATCGCTAACAAAAAACAATTTAATATTTTAACAAACTTAAAATATGAAAAAGTACTATTTCACAAAAGATGCTTCAATTTCAAGAGATAAAAAGTATAAAATTCTATATAATTTCTTTTTGAAAAAAAGCTAATTAAAAAGTACTAATTCAAAAAATGTTTGAAAAATTGAAAAAAATTTACCGATTAAAAGATAATATTTAATATATGGTTTATTACAAAAAATAGTTTGAATAATCAAAAGGATTGTTAAAGACAAAATTTTCAAATTTTTTTATGAAAAGTGTACTATTACAAAAATAATCATAAAGATAATGTTTAGAACTAGATAAAAAATTGAGTTACTTTGGGAAAAAAATAAATATAGGTAGTAAATATATGGCAGTAAAAATAGAGTCAATTATTGATAGGTAAAATAAAATTAAATAAATAGGTTAAATAGAGTACGTAAAATAGGGCAAGTTAAGATGTGTGGCCTAGTATGAGGAGGAGCAACGCCTATATGACAGAGGAGAGAGTCGTTGTAGGTGAAGGGGGTTGTCATTGGAGGGAATTGGTGAAGCAATTCGCCGGAGAAGGGAAGAGAGAAGAGTCAAAGATTGTGTTTTTTTACTGTCAAATCCCAAATTTTTTCAATCTATTTTATTTAAATATTGGTATAGAAATAAAAAAAAATAAAACTTACATATTTAAAAACTACATCAAAAGTTCAACAAAACAAGTGGTGACAAGAATATTTTATTTTATCATATAGGCCATGAAAAACACAAATAAATATAAATTCCCGTGAAGTTGGAATAGTGCTCTGGGAAGAAAGTTTTAGGACGGAGGGAGTATATTAATGATGAAATAAAGTCCGGAGGAGAAAAGCATTCTCCCCTGCTCTGGGTCAAATGAGAAATACGAGCAAGATTATGTGTTGTCTCATTGGCAGAGCGATACACAAAATGAAAAGAGAAAGTTCCTCCACAAAGAGCTATGAGGGATTTACAATCATTAATAATGGAAGAAAAATAAGACCAATCAGTAAATGGAATGGTTAAAGAGTAATTTACCTAAATAGGACTAAAACATAATGAATTTCTTAATATAGGACCATATGTTTTTATTTTCCAATGTAAGACCATTGGTCATTATCTATTAGTCATTATACAACTAAATGTCTAGCATCACTTGGACATTATTCTTCTCACTAATCATTATTAAGTCCTATTTAGGGAATAAAAAAGTTTAAGTCCTACATTTGGAAAATGACTTATGTTTTAGTTCTATTCACTACAAATTTCAAATGGTTAAAAGCATCAGCAACTTCCTTGCAATATGTCTCAATAATTACTTGCTTCCACCCTTTGGATTTAATCCAGCTAAGAACTTCCTTTACTGTTGTTAGTGCCTCCTCCTCTCTCGGACCATGGCTGCCTCTAATTGACAAATTCTTGGCACCCACGAAATTCCCAACATCATCCCGAAGATCAATTTTTCGAGTACTGTTCATTGCGTTTGATTGTCTTTATTTTATTTGGTCATTGGCTTGTGTGGAGAATTGTAGTACCCTCTCATTTGGTCTCTAGCATTGGTTCAGCACGACTATTATTATAATAATAGTAATAATAATTTTTTTATAAAAAATTATTTTTTATTTTATTTTATTATTCTAAAGTTTTTAGTCATTTTCATAAGCAACAATTAATGTTAGAATATTTTTAAAATAATTTAATGTACAAAATAATTCGGATGTATGTATAAACAATCCATAAATTATAAACAATCTGATAGAATCATATAGAGTCTTACTCATGAAATACACTAAAATCTATCTAATTCTGCGTAAATATAAAATAGTCCATAGATTTTACAGAATTCATGGATTTCAAACAATTTATTAAAATTTATTTTCCTAGTGCGTCAAAATGGAGCACAAATGGGCCGTGTCAGAATCTATTTTTTTAATCCGTCAAAATGGAGCACAAACGCGTCGGTCAAATTTTGAATTTCACATTTCGAATTTCAAAAATAGGCACGAGTTTTGGCATGACTATATTTAGGCTTACACATTGATAAAATTTGATGAGTCAAAGTACTTAGATGAACAGTTCCAAAAGTCAAAAGTGGACGAATATAGCGGGACGGAGGGAGTATAAGTAAGAGAAAAATTAGAAAATAACACTAAAATTACCTATTTTAAGGATATACATCTTTTTTAAAAAATGAAAGATTTTATAGGACGGAAGACGTACATGTTAGGTTAATTCCTCTATAAAACATAATCCATCCGTTTCTTAAAACATTTCCTCTTTTATTTTTTTATTTTTTTCAAAACACTTCTACATCATACTTTTTCACTATTAATCTATCTATCACATCTTTTATTTTGGTCCCCTAAAAAAATTCGTCGAAAAAATTGAATTTGAAAGGTGGAAAGGGCACGACCTATATATGGTAATTATTTACCCCACTTTTTACTAAGAGCATTAGCAATGGGTAATGGCAAGACAAAAATGAAATGTCACACGGTGACCTGAACTATTTCAACCAATAAAAAATAATCCAGTCACCGTGTGGCAAATGAGTGGAATGTCGTAACATACAGTGGCAAGTCATTGTTTTTGTCTACTTTTGTACTTTTTTTAATGATTTTTAATTCTCAAAAATTATTTTAAACATTTATTTTATTATTAAAAAATGTCTACTTCTTTTAAAAAAATATTTTTTTCAAAAATTAAAAATATTAAAAATATTTAAAAAAAAATAAAAAATGAGGGAGTCATGTCTTGCACATGGAATGAAAAGTGGGGTGGAATGGCCATGAAATGTCATGATTTGAGTGTCATTTGATGACATGGCTAGGCAAGGCAAGACATTGCATTGCCGTTGTGAATGCTCTAACATCACCCTCCTGTCATAGGGATTAGGGAATAACTTTCTTAACCTTAATAAAATTAACTTTTTACCGTAAGAGATTACGAAATATTGTACTCCCTCTGTCCCCCTAAGATGTTCTTATTTTGACTTTTGGTGGTTTTTAAGGAGAGTTGAAAAAAGGTGAAAGTTTACCATAATACCTTTAATGAAAAATGGGTGGAGTGTATTAAATGAGGTGGGTGAGGTGTAATAAATAAATAAAGTGAGGGTATTTGTGGTATTTTACTTGTTAAAAAATGAAATGAGAAGATCTATTGTGGACAAAGAAAAAGGGTTATTGGGAAGATCTATGGGGGATAGAGGGAGTATCTTATATTGATTGCACACATCGAGGCAAAATTTGACTACTTCAATAGTGTTCCGTTGAACTTATTTTTTTTGCTTATTACTTACTTTTATTAAAATCAAATCAGATCAGACCAGATCTATACAAAATTATTATTATTGTTGTTGTTGTTGTTGTTGTTGTTATTATTATTATTATTATTATTACTATTATCACTACTACTATTACTACTACTATTATTAATATTAATATTATTCTTATTATTATAATTTTTATTATTATGATTTCTATTACTATTACTATTTATATTAATATTATTATTATTAATATTATTATTACTATTAATATTATTATTTCTATTATTATTATTACTATCATTACTATTATTACTACTATTGCTATTAATATTATTATGATTATAATTATTATTACTATTGTTATTATTACTATTACTACTTCTATTACTATTATTATTATTATTTATATTATTATTATTACTACTACTTCTATTACTATTATTATTATTTATATTAATATTAATATTTCTATTATTATTATTTATAATAATAATAATATTATTATTATTATTTCTATTATTATTACTATTATAAATATTACTATTAGTATTATGATTATTATTATTACTACTTCTAATACTACTATTATTATTGCTATTATTATTATTGCTATTATTATAATTATTACTATTATAAATATTACTATTATTATTATGATTATCATTATTATTACTATTATTATTATTAATAATTCTATTATTATTATTTATATTATTATTATTATTAAAGCTTTTATTAATATAACTATTCTTATTACTAATATTATTATTACTACTATTATTATTATTTCTATTATTATTACTATTATTAATATTTAAATAATTCTAATATTATTATAATTATTATAATAAAAATTTTAATTTTAATTTAAATCGAATTTATTATTACTATTATTGTTATTAATATTTATATTACTATTACTATTATTATTATGATTATTTTTTATTATTTTTTATTATCATTTTTATTATTATTTTTATGATTACTTTTATGACTATTATTTTTAGTATTATTATTATAGTCATTATTATTATTATTACTATTATTATTATTTCTATTATTATTACTATTATTATTAATATTTATATTATTATTATTACCGGTGGTACCATATTTCTATTACTCCGTAATATTATTATTATTCTAATAGACAGTCTTTCCTTCCTTCAATCTAATTGCCGGTTGTACCAGAAAAATGGTACAATCCGCTGTATCGTATAATTTGCATAGACTTTTAGACGAATATAATTAATTTCTTTTTAGGGAAAAAATAGGATACTTTTGAAAGAGAGAATCAAAATTGCCAAGAAAAAAGAAAACAAAAAAAAAGCAAGTTTGTCCATGCATGCATTATACTTTCGTGTGCCTGAGATAGCTTTCCTATTTTCATCATTCATGTAACTTTATTATTTTCCCAACTTATTTAACTCGAAGTTTATTGAAAATGTCAAACATTTCAATTTTACCCTTCCTATGAAAAGTGTATTTAGTGAGCAAAGAACATATGAGTTCTGATATCCCCAGATATTATAATCTTTTTCTGGTGTTTGGTGAAGCCAAAAAAGAAATCGAATTCGATATCCCCAGGCAGGCAGACATCATAAATCCTTCAAATAGAGGGTTTTGATATCTCTCAGATTTGGGTGATATCAATATAGGGGTTTGATATCTCTCTCAATCTGTTAGTCATTCTCTACCAGCGACTACCATTGTCACCGCCAACCACCCACGTTGTCAGTCACCCCCGCTTATCACTAATTAAATCATGATTTTAGATCCCTCCAAACAAATTCGTTTTAGGCTTCAAAACCCATATTATTTCTCCCAAATTTCATAACTCATATCTTATTATATTATCAAAACTCATCAAACGGACCCTAATTTTATTTAGAAGCTTTCATACCCATCAACGTAATATTTGTTTAAACTTATTTCAAATTTTTCTCTGCAAAAAAAAAACTAATCTCACTCTCTCTTAACCACAAATGGAAAAATTTGAAATAATTTTCTTGTAACTAGGGGAATATGCTTCTCACATACTCCGTAGCCTTCAATTATTAATTACTCCCTTTAACGCGCCCTAAGCATGGGTAATAATGGGTTAAATCTTTGTAAAGAATGCCAGGTTCAATGAACCTAGACAGTTTTCTTTAGGATTATCATGCATAGAACTTTATAGGGTCCGTTTTAAAAAAGATATCTGACCACCTTGCCAAATGACTTTAAAGTTTGGTTTGGCAAACCGTTAGGGTTAGAATTTAACATTAATGTTTTGAAAAGGATATCTGACGATAAATTTTAATGTTATTATTTTCAAAATTAATTTACATCATTAAAATTTTATTCAAAACGCTAACCCTAATGGAATACGTTATTCCCAATCAAAGCTTGAGATAGTTTAGAAAAATATTGTAATATACAAAATTAGTACTATGTAGTTTAAATTTAATTTATCTCTAAAATAAGAATGACATATTTTTATCTTTAAAATAAGATCATTGCACTGTGAAAATGTGTCAATGCGGCACTGTATATCGACATTACATAGTTTTTTAATTTTATAAGTTAGCATTATTAACATTATAAATCTTAATTTCGTAATAAAAATATGAAAGTCCAATTTTCGTTCTTTCCTTGTGTTTTATTCTTATTTAAATGTCTCCATTAGTAGAAAATAAAGAAGTGCGGTTTTAAAAAAAATACTACTCCGTAATTGAAAAGAAAGTAATACTCCATCCTCCCATAATAATATTCCATTTTATTATTCAAATGGTCAAATGGTCAAATTATATTCACTTCATTTATAAACGGAAGGAGTACAATTAATTCTTGACGAATCAGATGCATAAATATTGTCATATTTTATTTACGGTGTAAATTAGTGAAAATATAGATATAATCTTAATTTGTTTAAAATGTGGGCCACGATCTTTTGACTTTGCATTGGGTGCCCGGATCATATTATGATTTAGGTATTTACAGTGTTCTATTGATAAAATAGATGGTTCTTATCCTCTAATCCCCTTGCCAAATCGACGATTTAGGGGACTTGGGGTGAGGTGCAAGGGGGCACGGGAGGGGTTAGCGGAAGTATGACAATTAATTTTACCAACAAATCTCTGTCGTAAGTGCTTTGAGTCATAATATACTCTTAATTTTCAAGGTCAAAAGAAGCTCTGGGTGAAAGTATTTTGCATATATCAATTTTTTTAACTATGGAAATGTGCATATTAAAATTGTAAAGCTAAAGACTATCTTATATATGGAGTGACTTTTTCAAAACGTTAAACTTGACTTCAACACGAGTGCCAAACAGACACGTTGCAACATTGGAAATCCTGAAAAAATAAAATATATTCCCTCCGTCTAAAAATTATTTCTCGTTCACATAGTCAAACTTTATTCATTTTGTTAACCTATTTTCGTTACTCATTTGATAAAATAATATAGTCACGTCACTTCTAGTTTTGTAGATTTTTTGATGTAGTTTCTTAATTTCACACAAATTTTTATATAAAATGATTTGAAAATAACTTCACTCAAACATCAATGCACAACGGAAAGATAATTTTTGAACGGAAGGAATACTCCGTAATCATGTCCATAACTCCATATCCCAGGATACGGGATCAGGGATCTCATGTTCCAAAAATTTTGTCCTACACATATGGTGGAGTATACTCCCTCGGTTGGTCTGTGAGTCTGTCCCTAATTTAATTACAAATTGGAAGTTACGAATTAAAACTCTCATCTTTTGGAATTATTTTTATTCATAAATTAGTACATGAATAAGAAAAAATAATTACATACGGAGTATTAAAAATTATGTCAAAAGTTCTACAAAACAAAAAGTAATAAGAATATTTTGTTTTATCAAATATTCAATGAAAATACATAAATAAACAAAAGTTGTCGAGAGGCAAAAGAAAAAAGATTGGAATCTAACTTGAGACGGAGGGAGTATAACACAAAAATATTATCTCACCATTTAGACTTTGTTCGTTTGAATGTAAAAATAGAGTTAGATATATACTGGGTTACGAGTTAGAAAATATTAGAAAAAGTTAAAAGAGATTACAAAGAATTGGTAACATCTCGAGTGTTACATTTAGCTTTTTATAAAGCTAAATTAGTACTACATGTCAAAATTGTGACAATAGGTATATATTATTAGTCACGATTAATTGTTATGAGCCCACATAATTGTCACAAAGGTAATATTGAAGATTGAACTTCATCTACAAGGTCTCCCAACTTTGCCCGACAATTATCTTAAAGAAAATAAATTGAACTATAATATTAGTAAAATGAATAAGAATGAAATTTGTCTCGTGCAAAAACTTTATGCCAAACATGATCAATTTTCATCGTCATTATCAATTTACCATGAATCAGATCCGAATGTTATACTTTTTAAATTTGCATCCCATTTTATGGTCAGAAAAAGATATGTTCAAATAGTAGATTAGAAAGATCTAAATCGAATTATATATAGTCTCACAAAATGATCATTCGAAAATAAGATACGATTTTTAGTAAATGTAAAACCTCATGCATCGGACATTGGTCTGACTTTATCACCGTTGTCAAGCGTTGAATTTGGTTGAAAGTCGATATTACCCCCTCCTTTACACTTCTTTTTGACCAGCTGAGATATATTCTGACCAATGTGATATGAACCCACAATTTTGATGGTGGTGGTACACGCATGAGTCATTACAAATTGGTGCAAAGAGGACGGCAAAGCATATATATGTACAATATATATGTGACGCAGCAGATTTCAAACAAATCTCTAGCTACTTAGCTAGAATGCTTTTTCTTTTTAATTTTTTTATTCCTTCCCTTCCACAATAATTATCTTATTTTTTTAATATATACCAAATAAATGTCAAATTTAGTCATTTCTTTATCAATAAATAACATAAAGTTCGCCATAATTTTCTCTCCTCTAAAATTTTTATATGATTAAAAAGTTACTTTTAAAATATATATTTCATGAATTTTTTTGAAGTCGAACTGAGATGATTTTTTTGGGACGAATGAAATATTTTTTATATTTCAAGGAAGTGAACGTGTAAACATAAAACACGAAAGACCATTATTGCAGTGGGCTTTAGAGTCTCATTATTATGGCTAAATATATGCATAGGCATAAAAAGTGGGTTCAAATGTTTTGCACGTCATGAACTTTTAGATTTTGTATTGGTATGACTCATTAGTGGTTTGAGACTTTGATTAATTGGTTTCCACTTTTCCTTCTAACCCAAAATTGACTTCCACTTGTTTTCAAAAATATTTGGAGATTGATAATTTAATTAAAAAAAATTCAGGTTTTAAAAAGTTTGCCTTTCCAAACGCTGAATTTGTTGTCTAACAAACATATATATCAATTGTAATAGTAATAAAATGATGGCGTCTCACTAGTCGGAAGGAACCATTGTATCTACCAAAAACAAATTTTACTCGTTAGACTAAAATAATACTCCGTAGTTTATTTACTTCCTTTGAAGTTTGAAGTATTTGTCCACCTGGTCACGAGGAATGAGGATAATATGATTAACAAGACGAATTTTATTTCGTGATGTAAGTATAGTTGAAACAATTTCACTTGCAAACATATTCAAAGAAAATGAGTCATGCCAAGAAACCACCAAAGTTGACACCGTTACTGTCTTACACGCAATAAATTTCTCACCGATAATTACTATCTGTGCAGAAAATAGTGTATAGTGTCAAATTTAGCGGGTTTCTAGCTTTATTTTTTGCAACAAAGACATTATGATTTCTGAGAAGTTGGCATAGCGAGAGAGACGGCAGAGCCACCGGGTAAATCCTCCTTCCACTGTTGGGTTATTGTCTTGATCTGTGTGTAAAAATTCACCCCAGCCTTGCCTACAAATGACAAATGTGGAATACCATATTACTCCATATGTCCTGATTTAGTTGTCTGTGTTTTCTGTTTTGGAATGCCCAATTTTGGTTGTTCAGATGCTATACATTTAGGCTCCGTTTGGTACACGGAATTCAAACTATGAAATTGCAATTCCGTCAATTCCGTGTACCAAACAGACGCTTAGGCTCCGTTTGGTACATGAAATTCAAACTATGGAATTGGAATTGAAGACAATAATAACAATTATGCTGTTTGGTAGCACAAAAATATGTGAATTTGGAATTGGTAGTGCCAAAAATGAATTGGGTTTGGAGGATTCAATTCTATCCAAATCAATTCCATAGAATTTCAACTTCCAATTCAATTCCAATTTTATCAATTCCGTGTACCAAACGGACCCTTAGTATAAAAGCATGTGAATTGACCAACATAACCCTGAGCTATAAAAACACACAGTTAATATTACTCCAACTATTTGGTTACGTAAACAGCACAAGGGCCAATCCCATCACATTCTTGAAGCCGAGCGGAAGATTCTAAACCAAATTCCACTCGATTTCGAGAATTTGATGGGATATCGGGATCGCCCAATGTAACTGTGATGAGATTTATGTCACTTTTTCTTGCGAATGCAGTACGTAAATACTTCTAAGATTCTTAACTGTTGTCGAGGTAATGTTTGTCCTAGTTAGGAGTGAGATCCTTCTATTTTGTTCTATTATTTTAAGAAGAATGAACAATAATTAGCAACTATATACGGAGTATGTTTTTTTTAAAGGAGCAGCACACGCTATTTCTCTATTGTTATTACTAGAGCTAGACATGGGTTGGGCTACCCGCCCAAGCCCGAAGGCTCGTCGATCTTCTAGTCGGGCCCACATAGAGCCACACATAGAATGAGTCTATCAAAGTCCGGCCCAAGAATTTATACTCCCTTCGTCGTTGACTTCATTGAGTTAAAAAAAGCGTTGAAAAATAAGGGATGGGTGGTCGAAATTTGTTTAGAATGAAGAGAATTGTGAGTCACATATTTCATTCCTTGAATGGAAAGTAATTACGAAAACATATTAGTTTAAAGCCCGACCGGAACCCACCCCCATGTCCACCTCTAGTTATTACTGCACTTATTAGATTCGCATGCTAGAAAAAAATTAATATAAAATAAATCAACTTCCAAGTAAAATGGCTTTACCGTAAAAATTGAGGTCTCCAGCAAAAGAAGCCTTGGAGCCAGTAAATGAGAAGAAGGGCAAAGGAACTGGAATGGGAACATTGATGCCAACCTGAAAAAGAAAAAAAACAAGCAGACAAAGCGATGTGCTTCAGAGAAAGGCATACCACACTACCCGCATTAATGTCCCAAACACCTTTTCCATTGGGAAAAAACATTATTCAATGAATCTAAAGGCCTGTTTGGAACTCGGGAAATGCTAGGGGAAACAAACCTCAGAAGTTTAGGAGGAAAGAAATTGAGATGGAAAATAAAACATTTCTTCAAAACTCAAAAAATATGTTTTCAAATCTTTGTTCAAACTCTTTTTATTAATCCATTCCCGTTATACAAATATATAATGACTAAGAAATCTAAGCATATCTAAAAAAAATCATATATAAACATAGCATGGTTGGTTTTACCTTTAATAAAATGCAAAGGAAATTGAAATATGATTAATTTTATTTAAAAATTTACATATAAAAATAAAAATATACAAAATGAATTTGTACATTTACCTAGAATAAATTTTAGGAAAATTTGATTCTAAGAAAACACCACCAATGAAGGAGTCGAAGAAAACACCACCACTACGAGGGCCAAAAGCCAAACACGTTCTTTTGCGCCAATGAAGGAGTCGAAACTCCCTCTATAATTTTCCATGGAAAGTAACACTTGCCGTGGAAGCTAAACACATTCTTTGGGTTGGCTTCATACAATCACAGGCAACAGAAATCCAAATCTTACCTGCCCTGCCTCAATCTCAGTTTGAAATTTCCTAGCAGCTACACCAGACGTAGTGAAAATAGCCGCACCATTTCCATACCTGGCATGGCAAAGGATGAATTACTACAGCTGATTGTTTCAAGAATAATTTAATATAGAAAGTGGGGTTCCAAAAATACTTATTTCTATTGACAATTTGTATGGCCTCTTCTAAACTATCAGCCTGCAAACAGCAAATTAGAAATTTGTCATTCATTGTGACATTGACCATATAGCCCATCAGTAACTTACTGCGGAGCGATGATATACGGATATAATCTGCTATCAAACCTGCATACAGAGAAGAACTGGGCCAAAGATTTCCTCCTGTACAACATAAAACACCCTGATTTAGAGTTATGAGTTTGTTCCATACAATCAAAAGCTATTAACTTTTCAGTTGTATAATGTATATACACTTATTATAATAAATTCTCACATGTCATGAACAGATAAAGAAGGGGAGGGGGATACCTTATAACACTCCATATCAGCAGTAACATCAGACAAGATCGTTGGACCAATAAAATTACCATTTTCATATCCAGATACCTATACCCAACAGAAAAAGAACATGAATATTCAATCAATGCGGTATTCCTTTACTACTACCTTCTTCCTGAAAAAAGAGTCGTCGCTAAAGAATTATTTTTGTAGCATAAAAGGAGTATGTGAACAAAAAGCAGCAAATTTGTATTAAAGTTGATGCAATAATTCTATATAAAGAAACGTTCCCATCGAGTTAAATAAGTTCAAACTAACAAATAAATTTGAAATTATTTCTAAAATTGATTGTTTTCAACAGTTTAGTCTTACTGAAAATTGAATTTTAAAAAAAAAAATTAAAAATGGTACCTTAATAAAACATGACTCTTTTTTGAGATGGAAGTAGTAGTTAGTAGCAAGTGGTGAATAAATATAAACCGACCATAAGCTGAGTAACTGAATACGAAAGCATACCACAATATTTCTTCCATCGAGCAGCAATTTAGCCCCACTATCAACACCACTTTGAACCAATTTGCATATTCGATCCTTTGCCTTTTGTCGCATGATGATCATTTGAGCACCAAATATTCATCAGTAGAGGGACTTTGTTTACAAACACGTGAAATATACCACTCATACACAGTCTTTTTAATCAATTTGGCTTGACAAGTTATAAAATTGACTTTACCTACCTCCTTACTGATTACTGGTCCTAGGTCGGCATCAGGTTCTGTTCCAGCACTTACTTTAAGAGACTGTGCACGTTCTATCAATCTCTCTATCCTAAAAGTATCATAGATATTCCTTGCATCATAAAAGTAACTCAACTAGAACAAAATAAAGGTGAATGATAAGGACTAGAAGGTAAATACCATTGTTTTGATTCGCCAACAAAAACAACTGTACTTAGTGCCATGCATCTTTGTCCTGCTGCACCGAAACCAGCTGCGACTAAAGCATTTAATGTGGAATCAATGTTTGCACCAGGCATGACAATGCCGTGGTTCTTGGCTCCCATGTTGGCCTGAAGGCATCTTAAACTAATTAGTGCAAGTATGTATTCTAGACAATTAGCATTCAATGCTGATGCTTCCCTTTCCTTTTTACCTGAACACGTTTTCCAGTACTTGATGCCCTAGCATAAATATGCATCCCAGCCTGGAAGATGAAGAAACAAAAGTTAGCCAGATTCATTCATGCACATGCATATATGATAATCCTCGAGAAAATACATGTGTAACACCAACAACCCAGTATAAAGACAACATTGTTGGAGTGAGGGGTGGGGGTCACGATGTATATATTTTTACCCTGTAAGGAAAAGAGAGACTATTTCAGTTGGACCCTTGATGCATTCGCTATCCAAAATTTCATAAAAAGTGAGATGCAAAGGGAGTTTAATGTGTGATTTTCATTGGTCCATTATCTACCCAAAACTAAAACATTGTCAATAACGACAATTTAGCTCTATCGGCAATAGAAAAAAAAGGAAAATTATGCGTAATAGAATAAATAATCCCTTAGTTACATAAAAAGTTTTGTTTCCCCAGCGCACAACTATTTAAATTTTGGTTAGCTGCAACTCTTATAAACCATGAATCATACTAAATTTATATGTTGCTTTAACTGAAATAATAGTAACTTGTATGTGACTCCTTTTGAAATTTTTTTGGCAAATTATATGAAAGAATAGGTTTGTTTGTCTGCTTGATCAAAATGTACTCTTTTTGACAGAACAAGTGTTTGAAACTAGACTCTTTTTTGGAGGGGATGAAAGGAGTACAATTTAATCAAAGAAGAAGCAAAATGAGCAAGTCTATAAAAACAGAGAGAAGTAATTTGGTGTTAGTAGATACATAAGATTGCCTTTTCATTTTAATTAGAAGAATACAATGGTTTTCCACAAGTGATTTAAGGAGTGTTTACTATTAGGTTCTCTTGGAAAGAATCCACCCCAAAATGGTGCTTGAACTTATTGCATAAGAAATGAGAACACTGGAACAGTGAAAATTTTAACTCACTGTATTTGAACCAACAAATGATATGGCTTTGATATCTTCATCATCACATATAGCATTAACAATGTCCTGCAAGATTGTTCACAGTTGTATCATGACTATCTGCATGATAAAACCAGTTATAATAGTCACCTGTTTGGAACAGAGTATACATGAGTTCCATGAACAATATTTAGAACTCCATCGGGCAACCCAGCCTCCATTGCTAACTCGGCCAACATCATGGAAGCCCCTGAAAGAAAATTAAAATGGCAAAACAGAGAACAGAAAGAGCTAGAGTCAACAAACAGTACATAAAATATGAAGAAACAAAAATACAGATGTTCTCAAAATAAAATACAGGGACCTGGATCTTTCTCTGATGGTTTTAAAATGAAGGTGTTCCCACATGTAACTGCAATCGGGAACATCTGCAAATTCCATGAGCCAAAAAAGGTGATGATGACTTGGATGAAAACACCCAAATGAGATCGCACCTGAGTTGTCATATAGGAAACATGAACGATCCAAAACATAAACTATGAGTTACTTACCCATAACGGAATCATTGCTGGGAAGTTGAATGGACAAATGCCTGCACAAACACCCAAAGGCTCTCTTATGCTATAGGTATCAATCCCATTTGAGACATTAGACACATACTCCCCCATCTGCAAGGTTGCCATCCCACATGCATGTTCCACAACCTCTTTAAATTGGGGAAAAGAAAAGTTATGAGCGCTGAAATCAGTGACACATATCCTGGTACTGATGTAAAACAGTAATGCAGCAAACCTAGGCCACGGAATACATCGCCTTGTGCATCCTTCAATGTCTTTCCCTGTTCTGTAGTAACATTCAGGGCCAACTTATCCTAGAACAAACATTATGGTCACTCCAATCATCATGCATCATTAGCTGAGAAAGAGTAAGTAATTCAATATTCGGAACTTTAATATTGATGACAGGTGGCAACAAACCATATTTTTTCGTATAAGGGCTTGGTATTTTAACATGACACGCTGCCTTGTTGTGATTGGTGTGTTCTTCCATGATGGGAAGGCACCTTTTGCAGCAGAAACTGCAGATTTGAACTCCTCATTTGTAGTCAGTGGTATCTGAGAAACCACCTCTTGTGTAGCCTATTTCATTAATCAATCAATATAAATCTTTACTTGGAAATAGAGAAAGGTCAAAATGCTAATTTAGCTGATTATACTTACTGGATTTTTTACATCAATTGAATTGGATGACTCCGAATCTACAAATCTACCACCAATAATATTGGGAAGCCTCTGATATAGAAGACCAAAAAAAAAAATACATCCTTTAGCACAAAAATATATTGTTTACATTCACATCATGCTATTGGCTACAAAGCTGATGTTTCTCCGATGTGGGGATCATAAAGATAATTATTCCACGTGTTACACAGCTAAATATTTTTTCAAAGAAATTGTAAGAAGTTGGGGGAGCATTGAGCACTTACGAGCGAAGTTTGATGCTTCCACGAAGATTCAGCAGCAGTTGACATTTTAGAATTGGAAAAATAATAAATTTGAGGGCTCAAAGACCTTGCTTTCCTGGCTGCAAAGTACAATCCATTTCAAATTAGGGATCTGACTACTCTGAATAAATCCGTCAATGCCTTTCTGCACTAGCAGCCACTAGCAGGCATGCAAATTCCACCAGGAAAGAGAATAAACATAAAGATATATGATGTGAAACATTCCATAATAGAAAAGAGGCCTTACCTCGATTTACAGAGAACAGCATCATCATTAGCACCAGAAACTTGTGACTGGAATTGGGTAACCTGGATTCCCTAGCTTGCCTCTGTGCTCAACTCTCTCACTTGAGTATGCTAATTTATTAACATGTAAATAGGGAGTGAATTAGAGATTAAAAACTTCATCAATTTATTTAAAGTGGCTGTCAAGATATGTTTGCTTAAGTGTTTTAACAAGACTCTCTGTGATTCGAGAGCCATGAGGTTGATTGAGTTTGTTCAAAAAAGTTATTCTCGTTTTCAAAAGCAAATGAAAAATAGCTACATAACCAACATCATACGATACACATGGAAAATTTTGGAGCAAACATCACAATTCAATTACACGAATTCTATTAGGCTCCGTTTCGTAGCTCAAATTATGGAATTGGAATTGGGGGCAAGAATTCCATTTCTGCTGTTTGGAAGCACAAAAATATGTGGATTTGGAATAAAATGAATTGGAATTGGAGAAGTCAATTCCATCCAAATCAATTCTTATAGAATTTCAACTCCCAATTCAATTCTAATTCCGTGAACCAAACGGACTCTAAAAGTAAAATGCCTTAGAAGCATAACAATAGGGAATGGAAATCGAAAATGAAGAGAATGCGTCTCAAGCCATAATGGATAAAATTGCAGCCAGTGTTCTAAAAATCACCACCTAACTTCACCAAAGCCCCTGCTTCTGTGCTAGTACTACTCACTTAGCTGACTACACATTTATGTGCAACCACTTCAGCATTTCGCTTCAGTATTTTGAAAACACTATCTAGCAACTGGGTTGTTGTTGTTGTTGTTGTTGTTATCTAGCAACATCATTTAGCTTTAACACTTTCAAAGTTAATCTGCACCATTAAAAAACAATCCAAAATACTAATGCTAATCGAAAATGTTGTTCCCAAACAAACCCTATCACAACCACCTAGGTCTCTATTAATCCAATCAAGTTGCCTAGCACTTATTCGAACACCTATTGCAGTAAATGAAAACCATTAACCTCTCAACGCCCTCGCCTTTTAGTACCTTCCCCCTTTTTTAGAGCTAAGTGTGAGCAATAAACTAAGTTAAGATGGACGCCGTGAAATTATCACGTCCACTTCTATTTGAAACTAGGAGGGAGCAAAAAAATAAAAGTAGAGGAAAACCGCTGTTCATTTGAGGGACAGAAAACCTCACCTGAAGAGAGGACTCGACGCCGGAGGACTGTGTGGAGGTCGACGGCGACGGCAGCCGAGCGCGCGAGAGGGATCGGCGACTTTGCAGATGCAGTGGAAAGAGCTCGCGGCTGGTGCAATCAACTTGTTGAGGATCAGTGTGTGAGGGAGAGGATGGGTGAGTTTTATCAGTTTCAGTTGGAATTTAATTTCGGAGTAATCTTCCTTCCAAAAAAATACGGAGAAAAACTTATACGACGAAAAACTTAACAGGAGACAAAAACGCCGTTGCCGGGGATCGAACCCGGGTCACCCGCGTGACAGGCGGGAATACTTACCACTATACTACAACGACTTGTTGGTTAGCTATATTCTAAGTTATTATATATTTCTTATTCAATAAAGGATTGCACATAGAAATGGGACATCTCTTTTCCCATCCAAGACTATTCCATTGGTGGACTCAAACTATTTTTGTTAAAAAACTTTTACACTATGATACATATATAATCAATATCATTTCATAAGAACTATAATCCAAATAAAATTTAATAAAAACTACTACAAAACCATTTTACTCCGTATGAATCTTGTTAAATTCACAATCTAATATCAACTTCGACCATGTTGGTTATCCTAAAACCAAGTTACATGTTTTTGAACATGCCAAGGTAGAAGTATCAACCATTAACAACCAAAGGAAAAAAAACATGAATTCGCCAAGAAAGAATCATTTATTATTCGGGTAAAAAAGAAACGCGAAACAATTGCAACTCTAATTCTTGATTTCTCGTTATGACATAAAATACTACTTCCAAGTCAACAAAACAACAAACCCATGTTCTAGTAAGGGTGTCTATACCCAGACGTCAAACCTTATCTCTACTCAAAAATAGACAGTCTCTTTCCAACGGGCCCAAGCTTCCTCATGGCCAACAAATAATATTTATAATAAAAAAAGCCATCCTTTTGTTGATGATCACAATTGGCCAAGCAAAGCATAGTAGCCAAGTAAAGGAGTGTATATCTTTAGATGGCAATGAGTTGGGCGGAGGAACCCGGCGGCTGAGAAAGAACGCCGCCGTTAAGAACAGTCACGTTGCCGTCTGAATCAACATCCACAATAACCGAATCCCCTTCTTTGATCTCCCTTGCTAGCATCTTCTCAGCCATGCTATCCTCCAACAACCGCATGATAGCTCTCCTCAGCGGCCGCGCTCCGTAGCTTGGGTTGTACCCTTCCTCAACCACCCTGTCCCTGAACCTCTCCGTCACCTGAAGACCAATTTCCAGTCCCCTCAGCCTCTCGAACACCTCCTTGAGCATTATGTCCGCAATCTCCTTCACCTCCAGCTTCGTCAGCTGCCGGAACACGATCATGTCGTCCAGCCGGTTCAGGAACTCTGGCCGGAAGTACTGTTTCAGTTCCTCTGTGACCAGGCTCTTGATCCGGTTGTAGCTCCCGTCCTTCTCGTCGTGGTCCAAGTTGAAGCCGATGCGGCGGCCGCCCTTCTCTATCACGCTGCTCCCGACGTTCGACGTCATGATGAGAAGCGTGTTCTTGAAGTCGACTGTTCTGCCCTTGCTGTCGGTCAGCCTTCCGTCTTCGAGGATTTGAAGCATCATGTTGAAGACGTCGGGGTGAGCCTTCTCGATTTCGTCGAAGAGGACAAGGGTGTAAGGTCTGCGGCGGACTGATTCGGTCAACTGACCGCCCTCCGTGTAACCGACGTAGCCGGGTGGGGAACCGATGAGCTTCGATACGGTGTGTCTTTCCATGAACTCGCTCATATCAAGACGGACCATTGCTTCTTCGGAGCCAAAGTAGTAGGTGGCCAGTGCCTTGGCCAGTTCTGACTTTCCGACGCCAGTTGGGCCCGAAAAGATGAAACTGGCGATGGGCCGGTTAGGGTTCTTGAGCCCAACACGGGCACGTCGGATAGCGCGACAGATGGCAACCACGGCTTCATCTTGCCCAATGACTCGCTTGTGAAGTGTTTCTTCCATTTTTAGGAGGCGGTCGGATTCATCTGTTGAAACCTTGGAGACAGGGATACCAGTCCATAAGGCAACAACGTGTTGAATATCAGCTTCCGTCACAACTGGGCCCACATCGTCTAGAGACTCACTCTCGGCCGATTTGCTCTTCTCCTTTCTGTTCTCTACTAGGGCCGACATCTGCACTTTAAGTTCCAATTCTCTGTCACGGAATTCCCCAGCCTGAAAAGAGTCATTGGAAAGTCAGAACTAGTTATAGGTCTGGTGCAATTCATCACAAACTAAATGTACCATGTTTGAAATTCAACAATGCAACAACATACTACTAGCAGGTAGGACACGCACACACACAAGAAAACATTTTAATATAGACCGGAAAAAAAGAGGAGAGTGAATCACCTTTTCAAAGTCTTGACTGCGAACAGCTTCATCCTTCTCCTTTGTTATCTTCCTTATTTCTTTCTCGAGCTCTTTTGCTTCCTGTGGGAGCTGGGAGATTTAAAAACAGCTTGTTAACAAACAGACAGCTGAATGAGCAGAAGGATAGTGTACAGTGCTACTTTCAAAGAACAAAGTTCCACACCATACCTGTGCATGGCGAAGTCTAACACGAGAGCCAGCCTCGTCAATCAAGTCAATTGCTTTATCAGGAAGGAAGCGGTCACTACAATTTATCATTAGATGCTATTATGATGCGTGTAGCAGAGAGAAAATCAAAAGATCTCTAAGGCGATATCGAAATTTGTATTCATTGCTCAATTAAAAACTGGGATACCTGATATACTGGTGTGAAAGCTGGGCAGCAGCATCCAGGGCATCGTCAGTGTAGTGCAGCTTATGATGAATTTCATATCTTTCCCGAAGCCCACGAAGGATCTGCATTGCTTCATCTACAGTTGGTTCAGGCACCTTAACTGGTTGGAACCTTCTCTCTAATGCTGGATCCTTCTCTATATGCTTTCGATATTCATCAAGTGTGGTAGCCCCAATACACTAGCAAGTAAACAACAACTATATCATGTTACGTGTATTGTTCCATTACCAAAATAACTAAAAACAACTTGTTTCCCATTGCAAATGTCTTCCTCTGCATACTCAGTTTCAAGAATTTGAATTCAGTTCGAGAGAATTAAAAATTAAAAGTAAATCTCTAAAGAAAAATAAAGGAGATGAAATGAAAAGGCTTCCCTAGTTATACATATACTGGTTATTTCATTATAACAACTAACCTGAAGTTCACCACGAGCAAGGGCAGGTTTCAAAATATTTGCAGCATCAATTGCACCCTCTGCTGCTCCTGCTCCAATCAGTGTGTGCACTTCATCAATGAAAAGTATAATGTCATCATTTTGTTTAATTTCATCCATTAGCTTTTTTAGCCTTTCCTCAAACTCTCCACGGTATTTTGTTCCGGCAACAAGCAAACCCATATCCAGGGTTATAACCTACATAGCAAACCAATATGAGTGAAAACAAAATACCGCGATGAACAGAACACCACAATGTTTTAAGAAATGTATGTTACTTCAACATAATGCCACTTTCCAATTTCAATACGAGAACAAAAACTTGTCTGGAATAATACATAGTGTGAATTGAATGTAATATATTGAAAAAAAGATGGGTAAATTAGGGCCATAATTCTGCATACAGATCAAAACCTCCCCATCTCCAAAGAAGGGGTTAGATCTATGTACACCGACCAACTTGACTCATCAGACCCCACTTGCGGGATCCCAAATTCCCAATGAGCTGATGTTGTTGTTGTTAAAGCAAACCCCAAAATGCTACAGATCAAATTCTACCAAAGATCCAGAACCGTAAAAAGAGCAAGAAAACACTAGATCTATTTTCTTTCCTTATACATGAGCAGCAATAAAAACACTCATTCAACACTCAAGGAAACTAGAATCATCATCATCATCATTCTTAGTATTATTATTTTTGTTGTTATTATTATTATTATTAACCATAAGATCTTTCATACCGTCTTTCCTTCAATTGTTTCAGGAACATCACCATTTGCAATGCGCTGAGCTAAACCCTCAGCAATGGCAGTTTTCCCAACACCTGGTTCTCCAATAAGGCAAGGATTATTCTTGGTACGTCGACCCAGAATCTGAATGACCCGTTCAACTTGCTCCTGCCTACCAACCACAGGATCCAATTTTCCCTTCGAAAATAGGAATGATCAACTTACAAATTAGCTTCTTTATTAAAAGTTCTGCATATACTGTTTTAGTACAGCAAAAGAATTACTCCGTATTAACTACCTCATCGGCCAGTTTGGTCAAGTTGGTGCCATATTCCTCTAACGTAGGCATCTTTTGGCTTGTACTACCTCCTCCACCAGCAGGAACAGCCTCCGCGTTCTCACCAATCATTCGAATAACCTAGTCAAGTTAAAATATGAAAATTAACATGAGAACACATAACCAAGAAAGTTTACTAGATCAGCGCCCCATATTTCCCAACCCACAGTGACGGATCCAGAACGAATCATTACTCATTACTGGGGGCACACGTATTGAACACACATATCGTCGAGTTATCCGGAAAAAGATTACAAGCTTGTCACAACATTGTTGCATGATACTTTATGCTGGCCGGCGGCAAAGAGGGCATAACATTTCCCTTTGTTACTCTCACAATACACTTTGATAACCATATTAAGTGCACTTGTGATTAATCAAGGGCTAGTGGTATTTTAAATCTTCAATGCAGGACATATTACATCATAAATAAGTAATCAATTCTAGTTACTCTATCACTTGCTACTCCATGGGTACCATTTTGAGAATCTAATTCACATTTACCCATTAACCTTGTCTTGGCAAATAATAAAGTGAAACATTCATCCCACTTAAGAAAACAAATGTACAGTTTGTAAGGGTCCCAACAATAAGTGAATTGCTACTTTTTAAACCCAAAGTTAAGTTTCCACTTTTTTCAAACAGGCAATCTATAGAGAGTAAGTTAACTGGGGACCTATTATTTTGGAATGGGGAACTTTGTTATTATGATTGAAAATTTTCAAAAAAAATTGTCTGTATTTTTTTTTAAAGCCACTGGCCCACTAGGGCACCCCCCCCCCACTTAAATTTGCATCCGCCCCTGACCCCACACACACAAAATAATTTTCAAAATTTAACACGTACCTGTGTGCGAATGTTACCTGGGTCAGCACCCAATACTTCAAGAACACGAGCAGCCACACCTTCACCTTCACGGAGCAACCCAAGCAATAAATGCTCCGATCCAATATAATTATGGCCTATGATGAAATAGACAACCAATCAAATTAGACATATCAGTGACACTAAGTCTTGATCCGGGGTTTTTTGGAAACAAACAGCC